TAGATGTCACCTTCACATTACGTCAGGGCCACGCCCCTACTCCTCTCCCCATTGGTTATGGGCCTGGACCAGTAGAGTCAATCATTATCAATGAGGTGTGACCACTCAATCACCCAGGTATACCCTCACATTACAGAGGTTTGGATGGGCAGGGATATGAGGGAGGGAATGGGGGGGGGAGATGATGAGAGAAAGGAAGAAGTGATCAGAGGGGGGTCAAGGGGCTGTGGTGTAACTAAATGTGAATGACTGTAAGCTGGAAAGTCGGCGTGTCCACTGGAGTTGTATATGTATCAATGTGCGTTTACCTGACTATGTCTGTATAGGTAAGTTTAGCCGTAAATGTAAAGTGTATTTGTGCGTATACAAGTGGAAGTATGTGTCAGTAAGTAACTTTGTGTGTAAATATTTTTTTCACGTCTGTTTAGCTTCACGTATGCATTATATTTCTGTGTGAGGTATGAGAATGTGGGGAGTGGTAGCACAGAGGTTATCACGCTGTACTACGAACTTGGCGACCCGAGTTCTATTCCCGCTCATGGCCACCAACACGAGTGACGATTATCTGGACCGGTCCGGGGCCTCACCTAGGTCGACTCAACCTCAAATGAGTGCCCGGTGCGGTGTGTAAACATCGCCACAGGGGAGACAAAAGCGGCCGGGCGTGGTTCTGGCCTCCCACCCCCTTTTCTGTGCCGTTCCGCCCTTCATAAGTGCAATCACTAACAGCACTTGCCCCAAAAGTCTAGTAAAGAATATACCGGGGATGTTTTTGTCTTTGGTATGAGCATTTGTAATTCATAGGCTCGTGTAGTGTTTAAGCTGTGTGTATGTAAACGTGTACTGTATACTATGTATAGTGTACAAATGTGTATTTAAGTGCATAAATGCGTAAGCATTGTGTAGCATGTAAACTGAATGCTATACAGCGTATCAAATATATAATTTAAATAAATGGTGTGCATAAAGGAATACTGCAATGTATAGTACAGGACTGTGAAACTATGAAAACAGTGTAAGTGCGCGTGTTTGAGGCTAAATGTGGAGTGCACGTGTATTGTGTTACATGCACGTCAGGAGTAGCCGATATCAGCAGGCTGCAAGACCAGGCAAGGATGTATCATGAAAGGTAACAGCAAAAAGCAATGAAAATGAAACAGAATCACGATATGAAAAAATAAGTATAGGTGTTTACCCTTTCTGCCAATAAAACAGGTGTTAAGATGTTCAAACACCAACAAAAAACCTTTTGCTAGGAATCATGTCTGCATTAACACACGTACTTGTGGTGAACATGCTAAACAAACATGATCTGATGATTATAATAGAGGCATTGTCTTTGAGACATCCTACTTTAAAACGGCTCTCTATGGTGTAGACCAGGGGTCCTCAAACTTTTTAAACAGGGGGCCAGTTCACTGTCCCTCAGACCGTTGGAGGGCCGGACTATAGTAAAAAAAAAACTATGAACAAATTCCTATGCACACTGCATATATCTTATTTTGAAGTGAAGAAACAAAATGGGAACAAATACAATATTTAAAATGAAGAACAAGTAAAGTTAAATCAACAAACTTGCCAGTATTTCAATGGGAACTATGGGCCTGCTTTTGGCTAATGAGATGGTCAATGTCCGGTTCCATATTTGTCACTGCTAGTCGTAACAAGTGATGCAAGTGTGCATCCATTAGTCTAGATCTGGTTGGAGATTTCAAATGTTTCATTCTGGAAAAAGTCTGTTCACAGACATAAGTGCTGCCAAAGATGGTTGCCATTTTGAGTGCATGGTTCCTGAGATGAGGATATGTCTCAGAGGGGAGAGATGCATAGAAATTTTGAAGGCTGCTTGACTTGAATGCGTCTTTCAGAGAGTCACAATTCTGCAGTTCAGCCAGTTCCATTTGGTAAATTGTATCCACATTTTCAATGTCAATAGAAAATGGGTTACGGAAAAGCTGTATGTCCTGTTCATGGCGATGAAGCTCTTTAAATCTAAATTGGAACTCCTTTTGCAATTTTTCCAGTGAATCCACACATGTTTTATTTGGGAATTGCAACCAATGGTTTTTCCGCTAACAGATTTTGAGTTGTGGGGAGATGGCAGAAGTTTTCCTCCTTAACTTGTTTGATGAGGAAGCCTAATTCTACTTCAAATGCTTTGACATGTGATTGCATATCACAGAGGAGCTTCCCCTTTCCTTGAAGTTGCACATTGAAACTGTTGAGTAGCTCTGTTACATCTGTCAGAAAGGCAAGGTGCCATTTCCATTCTGCATCATTGAGCTCTGGTACTTCTTTGTTTTTTGAAAGCAGAAAAGCTGTAATCTGTGGAAGTAAGTCATAGAAACGTTTCAAAACTCTCCCTCGACTCAGCCAACGGACTTCTGTGTGGTACAGAACATCTTCATAGTCAACATTTAGTTCAGACAGAAATTCCTGAAATTGTCTGTGGTTTAGTGCATGAGCTCTAATGAAGTTAACACAAGATACCACAATTTTCATAACAGAGTCCCACTTCAGTGATTTACTACACAGCGCTTGTTGGTGGATGAGGCAGTGTATGGCTATTGGATGAGAATGGTTATGTTTGTCCATCTCTTGGTTAATGCGAGCAATTACTCCTTTCTTAGACCCCACCATGCTAGGAGCACCATCAGTTGTCACACTGGCTAGTTTAGCCCAATTCAGCTCCAAACCATTCGCAGTTTGGCAAACCTTTTCATAGATATCCTCTCCTGTAGTTGTTCCTTTGATGCTTTGCAGTGCAGCAAGCTCTTCTGTGACTTCGAAATAGTCATTCGTCCCACGAATAAAAATTAGAAGTTGTGCAGAATCACGAACATCATTGCTTGCGTCGAGTGCCAAGGAAAAATAGGAAAGTTTTTTTGTGGAGTTTTGCAAATGCTGATGCAAATTGTCTCCCATTTCTTCAATCCTCCGTGTAATTGTAGGTCCTGAAAGACTCACTGTACTAAATAAATCGGCCTTCTCTGGACACATCTCTTTGGCAACAGAAAGAAGGCATTATTTAACAAATTCTCCCTCCATGAATGGTCTGCCAGTGCACGCTATTAGCTTGGCAACTTGAAAACTTGCTCGCAGTGATTAAATATTTAGCTGCTTCTGCCTCACAAAAGTATTTTGCTGAGTTGTTAATGTATTTTTTAGTTTAATATTTTATCTTTTCTCCGACCAAACAATCATATTTATCTTTATGTTGAGTTTCATAGTGTTGACGTAAATTGTATTCTTTGAACACAGACACTATATTCTGGCATATCAGACACACAGCTCTTTCCTTGTACTGCATGAAAAAGTAATCATAAGTCCACTGTTCTTTGAATATCCTACACTCCGAGTCAATTTTTCTCTTTCTTGACATCATTGTTTCCTAGGGAGTCAAAATTGCTATTAGTAAAATACCAATATATATACAGCGCTACAAAAAATATACCAGCAATAACTTTGCCCACACAGAGACATACAGACTGCACTGCCCATCAATGCAGTCTGATTGGGGGAACTCCGCTTTTACCCCAGGCTCACACTGGTGCGGGTGCCATTAAAAAGTTAATTACACCTGCAGTTTTGTTCACAGATCGCAGTACATCCCCAGCACACAGGAATATCACTGAGAGTGGAGCCGAGGGGCAAGTGAGGGAGCTGAGCGAGGCAGAGCCAGTCAAGCGCAGCCAGGGGAGGGCTGGCAGCCTTAGGCCTGGGGGGCTAGTCCAGTCAATTGGCCCATTGAACCATTCACCAGCGCAGCCCAATGAGTGCCCACCGCCGCAGCTCAATCAGTACTCACCAGCGCAGCCCAATTAGTGCTCACCAGCGCAGCCCAATTAGTGCTCACCAGCGCAGCCCAATTAGTGACCATGGGATCTGGGTGTCATTTGTCTCACCTCTTCGGTTCGGGGGGTAATGATGCTGCCAACTTCCTCCAAGCTGCCTCTGCTCTAAAAGACTGTGCCTGCGCTGTGATGCTCAGTCTGTCACGTCTCCCGCGCTCTCTCTCCCACGAACCAGCTTCCGGCTTTCACTGCCCACAAGTCACCGCGCAGCTGGCCCCTCCCACATGCCCTGGTTTCCTCTGAGTCCTGGGAGGTAGGGGGGCCGGATAAATGTCCTTGGCGGGCCGCATGTGGCCCGCGGGCCGTAGTTTGAGGACCCCTGGTGTAGACCAATCACAATGTACCTACGCCCCTTTAAGCATGAAAATAACAAAGTCAACTTAATCAAACGATAAAAGCATGAAGAGATTTAATAGCATTCAAAGATGTACACGATCGTAAGGTAATGCTCTGAGACCAACCAGTTCTCCATTCTCGTGATTACAGTTCCAATAAGTAAAACATTCAAAGCAATATTCTTCAATATTCTATGGTTTTGGTTATAATAAGTAGTAGAAAACTCCAAGCGATATTCTAGTACATCCTATTGAATACAATTAAAATCAGTAGTGGGCACATTCATCGCAATATTTCGTACAATCTATTGATTACAGTTATTATGAGGAGTGGAAAATTCAAATCCATATCCTAATACATTCTAAGGCTAGAATTACGATCAGTAGTGGAAAATTCCAAAGCATATTCTTATACATTCTCTGACTATAGTTATAATAAGTAAAAGAAAACTTGAAGCGATATTCTATTGCATGCTATTGAATAGTTACAATCAGTCATGGAAAATTCAAAGCGGTATTCTCGTACATTCTATGGTTATAGTTATAATCGTAAAACATTCGAAGCAATATTTTAGTACAATATATTGCTTACAGTTATAATCAGTCATAGAAAATTCATAGCCATAGTCTCGGAAATGTTATGGCTATGGTCAAAATCAGTAGGGAAAATTGAGAGCAATAATGAAAGTATGTTTGTTGAATTTCCTACGCACCGTAATTAGCCAACCATTCAAATCGGAGGTTTGGGGGAAGGATAACAAACCAAACACAAAAAGAAGTTATAAAGAAATTAGTTTTCAATATGGATGATGATTTCAAAGCGCATGGCTCCAGTGGCTTCTTATCATCGGAACGAAGAGCGTTCCAGACGGCTGCATAAGTGCATCTGAAAGCGTGCGATGCGGTGACCGTCTTTGTTCGATGGCCAGCCAATAGACGCTGCGAGGATGACCGGAGTTCACGTGATGGTTTATGCTTCTTGACGAGATCAGCAATGTATTGTGGTGTATTTGTGGCAAGCAATCTGTGTGTCATGAGTGCGAGCTTAAAATGTATTCCTTCGGCAATCACAAGTTAATGCAGCTCTAAAGAGAACGAACACTCATACGATAGTGACATTCTAGTACAGGGGTCGGCATCCAAAGTAACAAGAAGAGACATTTTTTTTCCAATTCGGTAAAACAAACTCAATACTTCAAGAGCCTCAATTCACGTCAATAATGTCACGAAGCAGCCACTTAAAGAGCCGCATGTGGCACCGGAGCTGCAGGTTGCCGGCCCCTGTTCTAGTTCAGTCTTAACCCTTCACCCCTGCCACCTCCACAAGACTTTGGGCTTAAACCGCCTGGTACCCGTGCTGGTCCTCTTCCTGCATCGGGTCACCGCTGGGCAGAAGCGGTGAACTTTCATCCTCCTCTCGGCCACTCGGTTGTGGCGGTTGCTTTCGCCTTGTTTGATTTGCCCAGGTGTGGAGGGAACTGCTGCTTTCACCACAGTTTACGTGTTTATAATCGACTGGGAGGGTATTTCCATGCCCTTGCTCCCTGACGCGATTCAGATGGGCAAACATGAGGTTCACGTTCTCCTCCGCCAAACGCTTCGAGAGCTCCTCCGTCTTCTGTTTGATAAACTGGTTCTCAAACTTTGAATAGTTGTTCTCAGGTGAACGTTCGATGAGTTTAGAATACTTTTTTTGAAATCTTTTCAGTGCATGAAATGTTACAATTACATCTACAGTGATAATTAAAGATAATTCCCATGCATGGTTCTGAAAATAAAATAGAGGAAATAAAACAGGGTTATAACCAGGATCATCATTGTTACAAATCAATATTGTGCAATGTTATTATTGTTATTTCTCTTGTTTTCCCAGGTAAGCCTCAATGAGTCTCTTGACTCTTGCTCTCGAATGCCCTGCCAAGCTTCCACAGTCGGGAGCTATTTTCTGCTGTGTGATCTTGTCCTGTGTGTGATATTATTTGGATTACTTGGCCGCTATACATTTCCATGTGATAGGCCGCTTCGTTGAGCTATCGTTTGTGGACAGGTCGCTTGTGAAAATGAAGCTTCTAGCGCAGTGGGACTTACCTCGTAAAATAGAAACAGTTGTAGTTTATTTGTAACATTTCTTTGTGTCATTTGCTTACCTTTCCTATACTGTGCACTGCTACTGTGCTCTTGCATTGATGTCTGACCTGCCGCTACTGGACATATGTGACAAATAGTTGTATAGCTCTTACAGAACAATATTATTTGGCCTTAACTTCTCGCCACCGTGACGACACTGGATGAAGCCCACCACGGTGGTGAGATATTAACTCCCTTGCGTAGTATACAGGAGTTCGTGGGTTAGATCCCAACCCTGACACCTGCATATTTGGAGTCTCTCTCCCCGTGGTCGTGTGGATTTGCCTCTGGATCTTCAGGGTTTTCCCTCTATGGGTCTCTATGCGTTTAGAGAATTTGGCTGCTATGATTTCCCACGTGATGATTAGCCACTTCGTTGAAATATCATTCGTGATAGCCAGGTCGCCTCTCCTCACCTGAGCAGAAGCACGGAGAAAGTCGACGATTTCGTTTTTAATCTCTTGCTCGGTGCCGTTGGAGACGAGGCCGGTGAAAGGATTCTTCAGATTGTCGCATGGAACCTTGGCCAGCACGTCCCGCCTCTCCTTCTCGCTCATTCTTGAGAAACTCGAATTAAGCACCGGGAAACGGCCCCAATCCAGGGTTTCAGATCGGTAACAAATGTAAATGTCACTATTGAAGAAAGCCAATATGATCCAAACAAATGATGCGAATATAACAGTCGCATTTTTTATAATTACGACATAAATCCACATAAAACAACAATAAAAACATCGACTGCAACGATTATTCCATCTATAAGATGCCATTATATGTGCAATTATTTTTGCACTTGAGGGTTGCTGAACGGCAAAAGCCACTGCTACTATGATAAAAAATGGTATAAATAAAGCATGCAATGCATATTGTTGATTCTCTGGCGAGGTGCAAGGGCAGCGAAAGGCAGGGAGAGGGGAAAAGACTCCTACTACACCAGCCAGAATGGGCATGAGCACGCCCGTAATGATGGTGGCAATGCTGGGCAGGTAGTCCTTTAAGGGAGAAAGGAAAGACCCCAATCCTTGCGTGTGCTCCATTATAGACGGCTGTAACCGATATCTACTCGACACAGAAAGAGCAGCAGCAGTCGATAGCAGCAGCAGTAGCCCCGCGCTGAGGTGTTGTTCAAGCGACTATTTATACTTTAGTCGTCGGTAGTGAAACCTGAAGTAATGTTTTGCGAGAATAATCAAGTCACGACATTTGGCTAAACGTGCGGTTATGCCGCCCTCGTGAACATCACGTAGCGCAGCGTTGTGGCGTGAAGGAACTTGTCTCAAAACACGCACAGAAAAACGGATGAACAAAACATCACGTTCTTAGCAGCTGAGTCATTACTTTGTTTAGCACGCAACACGTACATGGCTCTCATTCGTATGCACAATTAAAGCATAAAAATACATCGTACGATATCAAGACATATTCCAGCGTCTGTGTTTTTTGGTGTGGCCATGTGTCATCCTCGGTTAGATTCCATTGCCTTCTTTCACTCCCTGCCCTGACTTCCCCTCACCAGCGTGATCACCCACAAGAATGCATGCCATTGCAATAACATCTCCACTTCCAGCCGTTTGCCGTATCTCTATTTGCTCCTGTCACCCTGCACTACAACTCGTGGTAAAACTCTACAAGCAACGTGAATTAAACCTCCTCTCTCACCTACACCAAGCACCAGGACCGCCACTGCCATACGTCACCGTGGCAGCCCCCGCCATCTGAAACGACTCTCATCTCACATTCGCAGCAGCATTCAATCTACCTCTACTTTTAATAAAGTCCTAATTTGACTTCTGGGACGTCATGGCCGAGTGAACAGCGTTAAAGAGACCTCTCTAACCCTTACGATAGAAAACAAGCCTGCACGTGTATTATATTACCTTTTTTTCTTTAGACGATTTATTTATTTTTTATTAGCCATCGGATTTATTGAGGGGTTTTCCCTTGTTTTCTGCCTGTTTGGGCAATTTATAAACCCTCTAGCCCAATGGCCTTTTGTGCGCAGCTTGGCCCTACCCCTGTGGCTTGGTTTGGGGGATTTTACCCGCAACAACCTCGTGCTCCATGGCGAATAGGGCCCCAGGGAACACAAATCTCCGGCTTCATCCTCGCTGGCTTCCCCAGTCAAAGGGAAACAATATACCACCTAGCAGGTCCGTGGGAGCGTCTACAAATCCTCCTGGAAAATGTAAGAGCTGCGAGCTCAGAAGACAGAGGAAAACAGCGCCCTTCTCCCAGGTTCCTCAACGAGAAGCTAAGTGGGGTCAGCGAAGAGGGCGGAGAGACAGGAAGCCATCACGATGATGACGGGTTCACTCGTGGAACAGGGGTGATGTGTCTTCTTGGTTCTTTCGGTAAAGTCACGTAGAAGGGAAATAATAAAATAATAAAACATAATAAAATCATTTTTACCGACAGATCTGTTCTTCACCTGAGGACGGCTGCTTGCGTTGGACGGCTGCTTGCGTTGGACGGCTGCTTGCGTTGTGGCCGAAACGTCGTGAGAATTGTATTTTATTATGTTTTATTATTTTATTATTTCCCTTCTACGTGACTTTACCGAAAGAACCAAGAAGATGAATCCCTGCAGTCACGAAAACTTTAAATCGAAATTTAGGGGTGATGTGGTTAAGATGCACGAAGCTAGACTGCTGGGCGGGAGTGGTAACTTAAGGCCTACGACCTCCTGGAAGGAGTTGAGGGCAACGCTCCACATGGAGACCTCATTTACATTCAGAAGCATCTCATCGATGCTCTAAGGAACCCGGAATCTCCTGGTATACTACGGAAAAAATCCACCCCCCTCTGAAGACAGTCACGCTTAGTTCCCACGTGGAAGTAAATCGCAAAACATTGGAAGTCACGCATGCTCGACTTTGCTCCATTCATTGTTGAGTTTGCATTTTGATCGAGTATGTTTTTGTTTTGTTAACCGATGGTTTAACCAAAAGGAATTACGTTGACAAAACCTGTAGGAAGTGGAGCTCTAGTAATGCTCGCACGCTCTCTTCCTCTTCATCATAATCCTCCTCATCCTTTATCATCGTCAAACCACTCTTATTGTCGTTTCTACTAACGTCGTTACTACCCAGGTAACGCTTTTTTTCTACCACTTGTGTTGTACAACAAATAAAATATTCACGTTTATATGAGAACCGAAAAAATACATGAGGTAAAAAAAGAATCCCCTCACCACCACCACCACAAGTGTCAGCCATCGCCAGTCACTTCGTCTATTAGATTAAGAGCGCGAGTAGAACCCGCGACCACAGAAAGCAGAAGCAACATGTGAAGCAACAACAGGTTAGTCATTTTGTGGAGCGGTCAGCATTTTCAACACGGCACGCTAACCAATACAACCGGAGCTCGCCATCAAGACTGCCATCTTGTTTTTGCAAAGTCGAAAAACACTGGGGAGACGAAAGTGGTCGAGCGTGGTCCTGACCACCCACCACCCTCGTGGTGTCCCGTACCGTCCTCCATAGGTGCTCGCGATTGCTTCCTCCCGATTGTTCTATTACCCAATTTAACAAACGTAACCAATGAGGGTTAATGTACGGATCAATGAGTAGGACATCTCGGAGAGTACTGTGTTGACAATTCCGAGCATAAGAGTTTGCATAATAGAGTGTTATGTTTTTTATATTAAAGTGGCTTAATACAGAACAGTCTGAGTGGTGCCTTCCTAAGTTCATGCTTAATCATCTTAATTATATGAACTGCATCCTGCGGAGAGATCTGAATTTTGAGGCATACTGTAAACACTAAAACATAATCAGTAAAAGTTAAAGCGAGAATCATTGTATTATCCTGATTGATAATACACCCCTAGACAATAAAGCCGAGCTTAATCAGCATAATTACATCACACTTGCATAACTTCATACAATTCATACAATTACACCTTCTTCATTGTATTATCCTCGTAGATAATACAACCCTAGACAACGAAGCCGAGCCTAATTAGCATAATTACATCACACTTTCATAACTTCATACAATTCATACAATTACACCTTCTTCATTGTATTATCCCGATTGAGAATACAACCCGAGACAACGAAGCCAAGCCTAATTGCATACATTAGCATAATTACATACACTTGTATAACTTCATACAATTACACCTTCTAATTAGCAAAATGCATAATTCGCATAATCACATACATTTGCATAATTTCGGAAAATTACATCTTTGGTTCTTTGTATGGAACCCTGCAGTCACGAAAACTTCAGATCTAGATTAAATTACATCTTGTTCAAATTTCATTTCATTAAAAACATTTTAAAGACCGAATATATACAACACCAAGGACGGTGTCTGCGACACCGCATTCGAGGGAGTCAACAAGACTCCCTCCTTGATTTGAAGCTTTCGTGACTGCACGAATCCATACTCTCTGGCTCTTTCGGTAAAGTCACGTAGATAGAAAAAATTATAAAAGAAACACGACGTTTCGGTCGCAACACAAGCGTCCGTCATCAGTGAGAAAATGATCTGCTGTTGTGACTTTATATAGGTACGGGAGGGGGAAGGGGGAGGGAAGAGTTTTGTAGAGTCGTGGAAGAGAGTCTTGTCGAAATTATCACGTTAAAATCGGAGCAGCATCATTTTTTCTTAATTTAGGGCTAGGCTGGCCTTAAACAAGATCCGTTTAGCGTTAGGGGAAGCGACCACAGCAGGTATGAGTGTGAAGGTGATCGGTATTACCTTGTTGTTGCAGCATATATTCAGAAAGGTGAGCAACTCGATCAGGTGTGCCTTCTTGCTCGCAGTCTGTTAAAAGATCTCATAGTTGTGTGGAAGCCCTCTCCGTAGAGGTGGTTAAGTTTTGATTTGAAGCTTTCCATACTCTCTGGTTCTTTCGGTAAAGTCACGGACCAAGCTACATGCATGAAAAGACTCAGGATGCCATTATGTACAACCGCCCAGATGGCAGGCCCCATCTCTTTATCACCTTCACTTGCAATCCGAAATGGAAGGAGATCCAGATTGAGCTGTATCCATACCAAAAGCCAACAGACACACATGCCATCTTAGCAACGGTCTTTAAACTCAAAGTTGATGACCTCATGATGCATATTACGACTAACAAAGGCAGCGTCTTTGGAAAGACAAGCAGTAACTTGCACACCATTGAGTGCCAAAAACGTCGTTTTCCTCATGCTCACATTTTGCTATGGATAAGGGAAAAAATTAATGCAAGTTAAATTTCAATTTAAAGCTTTCGTGACTGCAGGGATTCATATTCTTGGTTCTTTCGGTAAAGTCACGTAGAAGGGAAACAATAAAATAATAAAAATCTAAAACAATAAAATTGTCACGACGTTTCGACTGCAATAAAGCAATCGTCATCAGGTGTGAAAAACACAGCAAGAAAATTATAAAAAAGTGGCGTTTTTATAACGTTAACACCACTGACTGTTAATAAGCACACTCTAAACTCACCCCAGAGGTAGGTGTACTCTACACTTGGGGCGCATCCAACACCGTCCGGCTGAGGAGAGAAGAACCATACTCACTATCTGCTGGTTCTTACAGCCTTCTTCGAGCTCTACTCTTGGCTATCTCTTCGAGACCTCTTCCAGCAGATCCACACTCCCGGGCTCCCACAACGACCCCGCTCATGTCACGGGGTCCCCCTTAAGTACCCCCTGACAATACCAGTGATATGACGGCAAGACCACAGGTGTACCAAGAAGTATCCACGAAACTTATTGAAAGACACTCAGTCGGTCCGTGATGGCTATCCTCTATATCGTCGCAGAAATACTGAGCATGGTGGATTTGAAACAACGCTCAGACCTGGCACTAAATCTCAAATTAAGGTTGACAACCGGTGGATGGTTCGCTGCTGCCCTCTTCTGTGCAAGATCTTCGTTGCACACCTTAAGGTATAATTCTGCAATTCTGTGAAAACCATCAAATATGTTTGCCAATACATCAACAAAGGCTTTGACATGGCTGTCTTTGCCTTACAAAAGAGGGACAAAGTGTGGATGAGGTTAAACATGTTGTCCAAGGAAGATACATCAGCAGCAATGAGGCCATTTGGAGATTATTGGCTTCCCCATCCATGAGCATTCCCCCACAGTCATCCATTTGGCAGTTCACATCGAAAATGGTCAACGCATCTACATCACTGAAGGAAATGCCCAACAGGCCCTGGCTCCAAAAGATACCACCCTGATGGCGTTCTTTGTTTTGTGCCAAAGTTACCCATTTGCTGCAAACCTGCTCTACCATGAAGTTCCCTCCTACTATACATGGAGTGCTAAAAAATGGAAGCGACGTGCTGCTCACGGTGATTTCCATGCTTTACGAAGAGTTAATCCCAGAATCAGGAGTGTTACTTTCTCCAAATGCTTCTCCATGTTGTCAAAGGACCAACATATTTCAAGACCTCAAAACAGTGAGTAGAGTTGTCTAGAAAACATACAGGGAAGGTTGCAATCTTTGTGGAATTCTTGAGAATGATCGGCATCTTGACAGAGCTATGACAGAAGCTTCTGTTAGTCACTACCAGAGGTGGGACAAAGTCATTGTTATGCAAGTCCAAGTCGAGTCTGAAGTCATCAAATTCATGACTCGAGTCTGACTCGAGTCCAAGTCACATGACTCGAGTCCACACCTCAGAGGTGGGACAAAGTCATTGTTATGCAAGTCCAAGTCGAGTCTGAAGTCATCAAATTCATGACTCGAGTCTGACTCGAGTCCAAGTCACATGACTCGAGTCCACACCTCTGGTCACTACCCCTCTCAACTGAGATTGTTCTTCTGCATAAATCTTCAAGTTTGTAGCCCATCTAACCCCATGGGACTCTGGCAAAAATACCAAGAGGGCATGAGTGAGGACATCCTCCACCGAGCTCAACGAGAAAATCCAAACCTCGACGTCAACTTTTCTGATATCATCTTCAAACAGGCCCTCATCCGCCTTGAGGACAAACTGCACTCCATTGGTATAAAATACCTCACGTCTATGGGACTACCAACGCCCTACAGGGACAACCTGCATGTCCTTGCTCAATAGATCCTACGTGAAATATCCTATGATGGTTTAGAGCTTCTTAAATGTATTGAGAAAAATTAACCAAAGCTATTGGATGCACAAAGAGAAGCCTACACGAAAATCTTGGAAGACATTGAGACTAAAAACGGAGTCCGTTTATTCCTTGATGCACCTGGCGGTACTGGGAAGACCTTTGCTCTCAACCTGCTCCTTGCTAAGGTTCGCCAGAGGGAGAAAATTGCTCTAGCTGTCGCATCATTGGGGATTGCTGTATAAGTCGATGTGTGTGTGTGAGTCGATTTATGTGTTTGAGTCTATATCTGTGTGCGTGTAGGTCGATGTGTGTGGTGGTCGATGTCTGTGTGTGTGTAAGTCGATATGTGTGTGTCTTTTTTGCCCGGGCAACGCTGGGTACTTCCCGCTAGTATTGTTGTATAGAGACTTCTTCCCTAAGACGCACCAAAAGCCCAAAACTCCTCCCCCTATCACGCCCCTTGCATTGATCTGGTCAGCCTAGTTGCCCCTTTGTTCTGGCTGGCTGGACATTTTGACACCTGATGTCATAACCCCGATAAAACTCCCCACCCTCCAGAGGTTATCCCAAGATTGTGTGAGCACAGATGTTGTTAATTTCCCCTGGTGTGGCTTTTTGACTCGTAGAAGTAGACCCCCGGATGTAGTGTATGGCTGTGGTCACGTTTTTTGTGGAATTTCCTCTTATCCACGTGGCATGGGAATGGCCTACCTCTCTCTCTGGGTTTCAACTTTGTGTCCTCTCTGCAGAGCCTAGTTTATCCAGTTAGATTCTCCCTCAATCAATACAGTGGTGGTTATGACTCTCTCCTTAGGTCGATTCAGCCTAAACATGAATAACTGGTCTGGCATGTAAAAGATTGCCACTGGGAAGACAAAGGCGGTTGGGTGTGGCTTGGGTCGTACCTCTTGCATTATCATTAGGTTTTATCTGCTAATCCCAGACAGTATGGCAGAATAGTAATTGTTATAAAGAAGTATGCAAAAATATCACGATAAACCGTTTGACCTGAGCTGCATCATCATCACATTACAGTATATTATATCATCAAATTAACGTTTAATACCATGATATTTGAAAATATAATAGCCCAGAAATGTGTAACGCGCGTGACGTCACACCACATGCCGCAACCCCCGTCATTAATAATAAATAATCATGCGCAGGTGGATTTTTACACTCACGCGGAAAATCGAGTGGAAAGATATTTTTTTGCAAAGTCGCTTCAAATATGATGACGTTTCTTTACAGAAAGTGACGGTAAAAAAAAAATCTACGCAGCACAGTGCTATATCCGTACGTGATGTTACTGCAAAAGAGGCTCCCCCCTCATGAATAATCATGAGCGGGTGGATTTTTGCCCTCCCCCAGATCGAGCAGAGAAACATTTTTATTATACGCAGCAACAGAGTGTATTTGGTGTCTTTATTTATTTATTCAGCACTTGAAATAAAAGGGAAGTCAAAGTTTTGCTTCTACATTATTATAAAATAGCAAAATTTCTCCGTGATTTTCCACACATTGTATCGAATTCAAATTGATTACAACCCCAGCGAGCGAAAGCAGAAGAGAATAAAGTATCAGAGCAGTGATTTGGAACTAACTGAAAGTGAGTTAAATACAGTGCTACAGTGACATGAAGTGAGGTGTTTTATGACAGTTTTGTGCCAGATTCACTGCCATTAAATTTACACAAGATACAATTATACTCTGATCAATTTTTTCGTAATTATTACAGCTTCAGTCCGAGGACGGGCAAAAGGCTAGTTTGAAATTATTCGTATGAGGTGGTGGTCAATCAAAATTTTACAACTTTTTCAAGCCAAGACTTGTAGATAATTAACCTCCAGATACTGTCTCCTTTGTGTGAGGAACACTGCCGAAGCAGCAGGGGGTGCTCCTCTGGTCTTTGTTTTCTAAAGAGAGGAGTTCACAGGCCTAACGTGCCAAATCCAGATATATGAAAAAGAGAACTATTCATTAAATATGCAAAATCACTCTTAATACATTTTTAAATATTTTTTTTTGGAAATGGCATATAACAAACACCACTCACATACCCAATAACATACTCACTCACTCGCTCAAATATCCACATACCCACACACATGCCCAAGCACGCACGACTGCAAATTAGTTTCCTCTATCCTGTTCCCCAAGTAAGAGTGATCTCTACCACACATCACAACACCCCGTCCCCCACTCACTTGCCCGACCACCTCCACCCAACCCCACCCCACCCACCTCCACCCACCTGCCCGTCCACCCAACCCAACCCAACCCCACCCCACCCACCCTATTCATGCGAATTGGATCGCCTACCTCTGTGCTCGTGGTCCGGTCTCACGGGAAAGTCCAATGACCAGAATAGCTGCGCAAGATCGGGGGAGATTTTTGGAAATCCCCTGAACGTTTCTCAGCATGTGTGCATCTTTTTACTGAGGCGCCAGATGAGAAGTGGTGGGTAAGTGAGTGAGAGGGCTGAGATTGAGTGAGATTTAGGTTTTTTATTCTCGTGTGGCTGATGGAATGTGTCAAATTAAAAGCACTTTTTATTGAGATTCCTAGCCTACATGTGGTAGTTTACTCAGTCTCAGAGTGTCTATGGGTCTCCATGCGAGTCTATTAATTTCTGTATGCGTCTATGGATCTCAATGCCAGTCTATACATCTGAACGTGAGTTTGTGAGTCTATGGCTTTCCATGTGAGTCTCTATGTCTGTGTGCGTCAGGTTGTCTCCGTGCGAGTCGGTGTGTCTCCATGTCAGTTTGCCTGTCTCTGTGTGAGTCTCTGCGAGTCTGAGGGTCCCCGTGCGAGATACCCCGTGGGTATCTCTGTTCGTCTATGGGTCCTTATGTGAGTCAATAGGTCTCGTTTTAAGTCTGTGTCCCTATGCGAGTCTCGGAGTTCCGATGTAACTCTACAGGTCTCTGTGTGAGTCTGGATCTCAACGTGAGTCTATGAGTGTCATGCTAGTCTTAGGGAATCGATGTAAGTCGCTTTGTATCTATGTGAGTCTTGGGGTATGTTTGTGAGTGTATGGGCCTCGATTTACATCTATCAGTCACTATTTACGTATATTGGTCTCCGTTGTCAGTCAATGCATCTCTATGTGAATATTTGCGTCTCTGCGTGAGTCTATGGATTTCAATGTGAGTTTGTGGGCCTCAATTTAAATCTATGGGTCTGTGTGAGTCTGTGGATATCTGTACGAGCCCGTGGGTCTCTGTACGAGTCAAGAGGTATCTCTGTGGGACTATGGGGGTATGTGTGGGTCTGTGGGTCTCTTTGTGAGTCTATGTTTATGGTCATGATGGTGGTGATGGTGATGGCGATCGTGGTGTTGATGGTGATGATGTTGCATCGCTATGTATCTCTTCACAGTAAACCCATGATATTTACAAGGGGGTTAGATTGCGTTATTATAAGAGTCGCAACCCTCCACCACCCTACACGGCCAATCAGTAAAAATGTGTCACGTTAACAAAACGCCAATTAGTTACTTCTTTAGCCCACTGGAGTGTTTGAAGAGTGAATCCACAACATTTAGAATTTGAGTACGCCATTTCGCTGGTAATTACATTCAGCATCTTCGGGCGACTTGCCAGAATAATGAAGCCACCCACCTGCTTCCGGTCTTAAATAGTGCAAGATGACGTCATAAACGCTGAACCTCATCAAGTTTCGAGATCAGAGGCGGAGGTGGGGGGGGTATTGCCATTATGTAATAGATCAGTAATCAGCCACTTAGCATGTGACTCCTCTATAAGGAATTGGAATACGTATTGTGTATTACTTAATAATACGCGTCCAGGCTTCGCTGAGTCTGTAGCTATCACAGCGGTTTAAATTCTTTGTATTCTTCTGAATTTCTATTCATTCTCTAATTAGTCTTGGCCAGTAATAATTAGTTTTGCAGAACACTTCAACGTTATCAAAATCAATTGAATATCCTTGTTGGCAAGCATGCTCTGCCACTGCTGACAGCTGTGTTTGAGATAATTTAATATTCATTTAGTATTATTTTAGTCTTATGCTAATGTTACCTCCCGTCTGTCCTTAATAGTATTTACTGCAAAAGCAACTGATCCGAAATACACCTTCTAATTTGTCAGCAACTCCCGAGATATATGGTATTTTAATTGTTTTGATAATCTGATCACTTTCATCAATATTGTTGTTCGGTCTTGATTTGCCATTCAATGCTTTTTTAATTTGAGCATTATTGTAGACATTCAATCGCAGTGCTATGTTTTACATGTTTAATCTCGCTCCTAAGACTTTCACCATCTGACACTGTTTTTGCCTGATGTATGAGCGTCTTGATGAGAGAGGATTTCTGTGCTGGGTGATGATACAAATCTGCATTTAGATAGGCATCAGTGTGCGTTCCCTTTCGGTAGATAATGTGTGTTATTTTAACATTTTGACCACGTCCAAGCTAAATATCCAGGAAGGGGAGTGTGTTGTTCACCTCCATTTCCATGGTGAACTGGATGGCCGGATTTTGAGCACTGAGATGATTTAAAAATACCTAAAAGCTGACTCCCAAAACCATACATCCCAGAAGAATTCCCTCATTAAACTCTACACCATAGAGCTCGATGTATCTCCGACCATCACCTAGCCAGTGAACTGGAACATGTACACCAAGCTCTCAAGTCGAATGGATATTCAGACTATACAATCCATAAAGCAATCAGCCCAACTGTTGGGGAATAACCATCTGAGGACCCAATCAAAGCCATCACCTTGCCATACATAGCAGTAGTCACCAAAAAGATTTCCAAAATGATGAGCAAACACAACATCCAGGTCGATTTAACGCAATACGTAAAAATTGTGATCTGATACCATCTGTGAAGGATGAGATCCTTGACATGCAATACCCCGGCGCCTACAAACTAAGCTGTGTCTGCAGCAGTAGTTACATTGGGGAAACTAAGCGACATGTCTCGGACCGTGTTCGTGAGCATAATGCAGATCTGAAACACGGTAGGACAAATACTTTGGTTTTGGCTGATCATTGTTTTAATGCGGTTGGCTCTTACGAAATCGATTTCTCTAAGACGAAGGTACTTTACAAGCCCACTAGCTATCAACAATAATTCATTCATGAAGCCATCCATATATACAGACATAGACACAATTTCAACTGAGAGGATGGGTACAAACTCAGCAATCACTGGAAAGACGTTATCAACCAGTTTAAGTCATAACTGGCCGTGATGTTTCCATTTTATCACTCTCCAAGGCTCACCAGTTTTTTATCCCTCACATTAACATTAGCTTCTTCGCTCATGCTGCACTCTCCAAGGTTCACCGTATTTTAATCTCTCACATGAACATAACCTTATCCGCCCATGCTGCCCCAGGGCTCCTGTGCCCCGCCCACTCCGTTCTGACACTTTGGCTACGCCCATTTTAAACCTTTACACAAAGTTTGAATTTAGAGGCTTACCCCCATTTTTTTCTCCACCTGATGATGATTTCTTGTGTTGCGATAAAAACGTCATAGTGTTTTATAACAAAATTTAACCTATCTATGTGATTTTAACGAAAGACCCAAATAATTTTAATATCTTTAATCACATTCACAAGATGTTCTGAATTTCTTATACATTTAGATGTCCTACCGAAGTAGGGCTGTATTTGGTTACATATTTTGCTAATTTACACGTGCCAGAGTCTATTGTGGGTAGTAATGGGATACCGATTTTATGAATCTTTGGTAGCCCATACAATCTTGGTGATTTAACCAGCGACATGATTTTTGTCCTTTCTAAAGGCCTTTACTTTGTCATTGCCCCACGCACAATTCCAGTAGATGAGATAATTGCCGAGGTGGAATCAGCGGTAAGACATCTTCCACATAACAAGGCAGATAAGACTGGACACGAGGTTGCCAAAATAATTGAGAAGAGCTAAATACCAAAAATAAATATTAGCTTTGGCGAAGCAATAGCCTTAAGAGAGATTCGATTAAATAAAGAAATTCAAATTCTGGCAGCTGATAAAGGCCGCAGTACTGTAGTGATGTCTCAAACTGATTATGATAATAAAATTAAAGATTTACTGGAGGAAGATATATATTAAAATTAAACGAGATCCTAAAAATACTTTATAACGAAGACTTCTGCAATAATTGCAAATGCATTAATCCCCAAGACTGATTAATATCAAATTAAGCCACGGGCCTCAAAACCACCAAGATTATATGGGCTACCAAAGATTCATAAAATCGGTATCCCATTACGACCCAAAGTAAGTACAATAGGCTCTGCCACATATAAATAACCAAAATATGTAACTAAACAAATACAGCCCTACATCGGTAGGGCATCTTCACTAATAAGAAATTCAGAACATCTTGTGAATGTGATTAAAGATATTAATCTTAACCCTAATGATATTCTGGTGAGTTTTGATGTAATTTCTCTATTCACTAACGTTAAAGTTAATGAGTCACTTAAATTACTTGATACACTAGTAAATAAGACACGTTTACCAGAAGATATTCCAAAACTAGCTGACCATTGTCTAAATAACACTTATTTCTTATGGAGTGGTGACTTCTTTAAATAAAAGGAAGGAGCAGCAATGGGCTCTCCTTTGTCTCCTGCTTTAGCAAATCTGTACATGGAAAACTTTTAAACAAAAGCACTTGCCTCAAGTACATTAAAACCATCTTTTTGGTTTAGATATGTCGATGACACTTTGATCGTCTGGCCAAATGCTCAAGATACACTAAATGCATTTTTAAATCATCTCAATGCACAAAACCCGCCTATCCAGTTCACCATGGAAATGGAGGTGAACAACACACTCCCCTTCCTGTATATTTTGCTTGGAGGCGGTCAAAATGATAAAATAACACACAGCGTCAACCGAAAGAGAACGCACACTGATGCCTATCTGAATGCAGATTCGCATCATCACCCAGCACACAAATCATCTCTCATCAAGACGCTCATACATCGGACAAAAACAGGGTCAGATGGTGAAAGTCACATTGGGGATTGTGGTGTTGTTGAAAACTTTTGTGAACTCCTTGCTGCACTTTCCGTCATTCATACAGAGTGCGCGTGGGTTTGCAGTGCCGCACGGACCGTGCATAATGCATCTCGTGACAATCTCACACAGTCGTGGATGGTCCCGCGTTGGAATTTCGGCGCACACAAACTGGTTGATCTGTTCGCCAGTTGTGAACTTGTCCTGAGTTCGCAGAGTCACCAATATGTGGGCGTGCGGAAGACCCCGCTTCTGGAACTCGATGGTGTAGACGTGCGCTTTTCATTCTCCAAGCACGCCGTGTTTGGTCAGATCATCGATCAGAGCATCCAACTTGATTTTGAATACACGTGCTACCAAGTCGGGTCGAGTTGATGGCTGCTTGCCTCGTCGAAGGTTGTCGGTGATATCTGGTAAGCTTGGATTTGCGGTAAATGTTATGAAGAGGTGTGCACCCCATCTCGCAAAGATCGACATTGCATCGCAGAATTGCTCGCGCATGTTTCTCGGCGATCCTTCGAAGCTCAAATGGAGGATGACTGCAACGCCAGCTGCAATGTTTGCGTTTTGGGCTAAGTTTGCGACGTGGTCTGCGAGACCTTGGTACTGCTGTGCTCACAATCGCTGTTGATTTTGGCGGTTGTAGTTGAGATTGTTTGCCTCGACTTGCAGGTACGAATCCACCAACCATTGTTGAGTCAGCTTTCCGGCACTCATGACTGGATTGAAGTTGTCTTGAATTGCCGTTAGAGCTGCTTTCCACTGAAGCATGCTGACATTGTTCCGAACTCTATTCAGTTGTGCTCCCTCGTAAGTTTCGCACTGCCAGTTCGGTTTCCATCCGGCCTCGCCGTACGGATACAGAATCGTGTACGTCATGGGATCCATGTTGGGACTCAAAATATTGAGGTTGATGAACTGCTGATTGAGATTCTGTGGATTCCTCGGGTAGATGCGAATGTCACGCTAGAATGGCGGCTCACCATCCTTGTTGACGAAGACCGTCGCGACTTCGTTTGATGTTGGTGCGTTGTATCGTCGTTGATTTGACTGATGATCACGTCTCAGCACCATGCTGACCAACGGAATGAGATGTGCGGTGATATGTCTGGCCGTGGACCTTGAAGACATATGGGCCTTGTCCTGGCAAATCGACGATCTTCGCTCCCATCGACGCGAAGGAAACTGCGCTGTTGTAGGATTATATGTGATCGTGGAAGTGAGCGTGATTCGGATGAGTTTGGTCAGTCAGCAATGCGTGGAGAAACTCAGGATATTCCAGCTCAACTCCGTTGATGTCCTTTTGATTTGCCAACTTTAATTTGCCCTTACGGCAGCACGAAGTGAATTTCCGATCAACAGGGCGTTCTAAGATGAAATTCCTCGAGCCGCAGAACTGGCAGATGATGTTCATTGGACTGCAATTGTGCGCCTCTACTCGAGTGTTGTCGAAATTTATGGCTTCATTGCAGAACGCTTGTCTCTGACGCTCTGTAACTAAGCGCTTACTCTGAACGAAAGCTGCACGCCGCGACTGCGATTGTTCATGAGTTTCAGCCGCGATTCGAAGTCAATGGGCTGCGGTATCTGCTTCACGCCGCGACTGGGATTGCTCAGCAATTTGTCGATTGATGTAACATTGTTGAGATTGACAATGTGCTGCACGAATTCTCTCGAGCAACTCCAGCCTTTCGACGCTTTTTTGCGAAGGGATCTTCGTCCTCGTCCATAATTTGTTACTGAAAGTGAAAACATCTTTAAGGAACATTATGAAGGCAAATAGAGAGAGAAGAGTGGGCCGCATCTCATTGGCATCTCCTCGCTCTTCTCTCTCTCTCGCAAGTGTTTATCATATGCTTCACACAAAGATAGATACAGTAGTGCGCTTTGCAACGTAATCGAACGTCTTTCCCTGCGACTTGTTGATTAAGATAGCGTATGCGGGGAGAATGGTCATTGTCGTGGTCGCAAAACAAATGGCAAAGTCGTGTCGGTTGGGGCCAAGTAGATTCTGGGAATCAACACCGAATCGCCTCTTCTACAGATCGATTCCAACGTAATCGAACGTCTGTCCGTGCGCCTCTGTCGTTCACACCTATGCGCCCTCTGCATGAAAACGATGGGAAGTGCAGCGTTCATCACATAAAGATAGGCATTTATATGTATAGATACCCAATGCATATTGCAATTCCTTATAGAGGAATCACATTCTAAGTGGCTGATTACTGATCTACTGTATTACATAATTGCAATACCCCCCCACCTCCTTATAGAGGAATCACATTCTAAGTGGCTGATTACTGATCTACTGTATTACATAATTGCAATACCCCCCCACCTCCACCTCTGATCTCGAAACCTGATGGGGTTCAACAATGATGACGTTATCCTGCACTATTTAAGACCGGAAGCAGGTGGATGGCTTCACTATTCTGGTAAATCGCTCGAAGATGCTGGATGTAATTACCAGCGAAACGTCGTATTCAAATTAAAAATGTTGTCAATTCACTCTTCAAACAAACCGGTGGGCTGAAGAAGTAACTAATTGCGAAACGTCGTACTCAAATTAAAAATGTTGTCAATTCACTCTTCAAACAAACCGGTGGGCTGAAGAAGTAACTAATTGGCAATTTGTTAACGTGACACATTTTTTACTGATTGGCCGTGTCGGGTGGTGGAGGGTTGCAACACATTTATAATAACGCGATCTAACCCTAAATCCTTTATTATGAATAATACTGGTCGCGAAAGCCAACGTGTTAAATTTACAAAGGGGTTTACTTTCCAACATACAACCAGTGTGCTGAAGTAGTAATTAATTGGCACATTTTTTTACGTGGAAAGCCCTTTCTAGGTGGCTCTGTCGAGTGGTAGTGATGCTGGTTAGCCACACATTTATATTTACACGATCTAACCTAATATATATTTATCATTATGGATAATATTGGTTGTGAAAGCCCACTACGTGTTAACTTCGATGCCTCTCTGTGACTCTGTTGGTGTCTGTGTGAGTTTATGTTGATGGTCATGGCAGTGGTGGTGATGATGGTCATGATGGTGATGGTGGTCATGGTGATGGTGAAGATGGTGGTGATGGTGGTGTCAATGGTGGTGGTGTTGATGGGTGGTGGTGATCGTGGTGTAGATGGTACTAGCAATGATAGTGGTGGTGGGTGATGATGGTCATGATGGTAGTGATGATGGTGGTGACTGTGATGATGTTGCCCCTCTACTTCTCTCTGTTTACCCATTCAATCTCCACCTCCTCCTACCGACCTCAGAATCGCCGACACAAGCAACTGGACCTCAGGACTCCATGGCGTCTCCTCTTCCAAACCAACTCCTTGCCTACCTCCTCCTCACCCTCTTCGTCCTCACCATCCGACTCGCACATGCTGAAACGTTTAAGAAGACAGGTGAGCAGGAGGTAGGGAGGAGGAAGTAGGCAGGAGGTGGGGGACGATGCCAACCCTATTTGCAAGTGATAACGAGATTCTCACTTGTAACTTTCATCAGCAGTTGGCTAAGACCAGGCCACTGCGGGTATAAATGGGGGTCCTAGGTGGACACCCACCATTGCAGTGGGAAAATGACAAGCGCATGTGACAAGCGCAGATCAGCTCCATGGTAGGTCCTGATGTCAAGGACATTGGCCCACATTTGCTGTTCCATAACAATGTAGTCCAGCAAATGTTCTTGCTTGGAAGCAGCGTGCATCCACAATGTTGTGTTGATGCGCCAATGCTGGAGCAGTGTGTGTGGTAATTACAAGCCCATGGGCTGCACAGATGTCTAGCAGCCTCCATTAATATTGAGCTGATCTGGCCAATACCTTTCAATCACTCCAGTCCAGTTGCTTGTGGTCCAGGTAGTTGTGATGATGTCACCCAATGCATCCACACACTCACTCAGGCATTCACTCACTCAGACACTCATCTACTCACTCACCCACTGACTCATTCACCCACTTACTCACTCTCCAACTCTCTCACACACTCACCCAGTCACTCATTTACTCACTCACTCACACATTCATTCACCCATTCACTCGCTCACCCACTCACTATTTCGCTCACTCACCTACCTACTAATCCACTCACTTACCCACTCACTCCTTCAGCCACCAAACCACTCGCCAACGCATCTACCAACTCATCCACACCCTCACTCACCCACCAACTCACAGGAGTTGGCTACTTCTTCCTACGCCAGACTGAACCCAGTAAATTCCTGTCGTGCTTTTGCAGGTGGCCCCAATGATGTGGAGGTGGAAAGGAAGTGTGGATTCTCACTCAAGACCATTCACGGTCAGATAACAGCCTGTGTGCGTCTTTGTTTGTGTGCGAGTGTGTTTGTGTGTGCGAGTGGGGAGCGGTAGTGCAGCGTTAGCGTGCTGCTCTACGAAGCTGGCGACCCGAGTTCAATTCCCGCTCACAGCACAAGACAAATGACGATTATCTGAAGCAGCCGTGGGCCTCCCCTAGGTCAACCCAACCTCAAATGAGTACCTGATGCGATGTGTAAACATAGCCACTGCGGAGATAAAAAGTTGGCCGGGCGTGGTGCTGGTCAAACACCTCCTCGGTTCTATGCTGTCCTTCACAGATGTTTCCTCATAGTACTTGCTTTGACAGTCTGTTAAGGCTATATGTGGGATATTTGTAATTGTCTATGATTGTCTGTGTGTGTCCAGCTCCGGTTTGACATCAGGCAGCATTTTTTTCATCTGGCTGTGTAATGCTGTGTGGAAGCTACCTAATCTGTCACTCCACACGAAGCTTTGGGTCTTCTCGGACAAAGTTATGCCCCCCCCCTTCTCTATGCTTGTGAAACGTGGACCCGTCGAATGGAACATCTGCGCCAGTTAGAAACAACCAGGCTAGCCTGTCTACGATCTATTCTGGGTTTGACCAGGCTGGATTGTGTGAGGAGCTCACAAGTCCTTGAAAGATCAGGACACATTCCCATCGGTGAGCTCCTCCGGCAGGCAAGGCTGCCTTGGCTGGGTCATGTAGCCAGCATTCCGAACCACCACATATCTAAGCAGTCTCTGTTTGGCTGGACAGAGGGGGGTAAACGGGCATGACACAGGCTGGAGAAGAAATCGACTCATGTGGTATGGGAGGAAGTGGAGCTGAGTGGACTTGCCGAAGACTGACACCAGCAGTGTCAAGATTGGCCTCTATGGGGAGGCTCATGAAGGACACTACTGGTCAGTTGGAAGCAGTCGCCCTCCAACAACAATGGAGGGCAGAGGAGCAACGCTCACAATAACGTGTGGAGTGGCTAAAATGCTGAAAGTTGGCACAGTCGGGGGCACAGCTGGTACATCTACCAGTCATCTCAGTCGGTCAACCCATTGCACCTGGGTTTGTCCCGTGACCTCCTGTCAGTGAGCCTTTGATACTTCACGTGGCCTCAAAGTGCACCTGGCCTAGCACAGGCGTCATAGTGACATCATCATTACCTAGTGTCGAATGGCAGGTATTGATGTCTGTGTGTAGCTACTCACTGTGAGTGGCTGGCTTATGTGCCCATCTATTGAGATCTCTCAAGCAAACTGCTGAGGGAAGGTGGTGTTTGTCTAAAGGCTGCCCTATAGGACATCATTATAATGGTGTGGATCGCAGGACGGCTTCCACAGGATTTGAAGGATGCATTTGTGGTCCCCCTCTTTGAGACGGAAGACCGCACTCGATCTAACAACTACCAGGGCATCTCCCTCAGTGTGAGACCAGGAAAGGTCCTGACAAGAATTATTCAACATCGGCCCCTTGCCAGGCAGGCTGAGGAGAGACTTATGGAGCCCCAATGTGGTTTCAGACTGAGGAAGTCAAACATGCATGCCATATTCTCTGTCTGTCTGCTACAGCAGAGGTGTAAGGAATTATAATAGAACCTACATCTCTGCTGTATTAACCTGGTCAAGGCCTATGATACCATCAATAGGCCAGGGCTCTGTGTTGTTCTTTGCATTTTCGGGGTCCTATAACTCTCATCAAAATCATTAAGGACCTTCATAATGAGAATAGGTTTTCCCCTTTTTTCTGCCAACAAAACAGGTGTTAAGATGTTAAAACACCTAATTGAAACCGTTTACAAGGAATCATGTCTGCATTAAACACAATACTTGTGGTCAGAATGCAAACAAAACATACTCTGATAATATATACATTGTCTTTGAAACTGATTGGTCCACACCAGAGACAGCTTTCTTTGGAGCCTAGTCTCAAAAGGTGTTAGACCAGAGGACGCGTCTTAACACCTGTAATCAGTCCCATAAAAACTAAGCAAATATGATCAATGGTGGCCCCTGCAATGTATAGAACCGCATTGATCCATCCGGTATTTGGTTGTTGAGTCTAATCTGATCTGCACTCCACTCTGTCAACCTCTCTGTCAACTTCTCTATGATTTTCTTTATGATCTACTCTGTAATGCACTTTTCGGTCTGTAATCCACTCACTGATCTGCTCTGATCTATTTTGTGAGCCACTCACTGATCTACTCTGTGATCTGCTCTCTGATCCATTTTGTGGTCCCCTCTGTGATTTGCTCTCTGGTTTGGTTGAATGCAGACTGCAAATACCAGAAGTGCCAGGAGGCTTCGACCATCTGTGCAGCAATGACTCCTGGGGATCAGCCCGTCGATTCCACAGGCGAGTGACCATGGGGACCGTGGTCAAGATGTATTCACTGATAGATGAAGCTCTACCCCCTGATGATGTTAACACTGTGTAACAAAAAAAATAGTTCCTGGGTAGTAAGTGTTATTTGCTAATTGCTTATGCCTCAAAAGTATAGAAAATGGCTATTATTCCCCACAAACTTTGCTTTTGTGACCGGGACAGTGATATTTTGAAATGTACCTATTTTCGATGAGAAAACATGTGCATTTGTGTCTTTCGTTCACATAAAGTCCTGGTCACAAAAGTAAGGTTTGTGGGGAATAATAGCCATTTTCTATACTTATTAGGCAAAAGCAATTAAGAAATAACATTTAGTACCCAGGAAAAAAAATTGTGTTACATAGTGTAATGATAGATGTTTACAATAGTAATGTATGTATGTTGAATGGTGATATTAAGAAGCGATGATGGAGTGATTAGCACCGCACCACGCTACGAACCTGGGAGAGACCCAAGTTTTATTCCCACTCAGAGCCACCACCAATGTCGGTGATGGTCATCTGAACCCTTCTTGGGCATCCCCAAGGTCGCTTCAGCCTCAAATGAGTACCTTGCCTGGTGTGTATTAAACATCAGTACTGGGGAGATAAAAGCGGCTGGGCGTAGTGCTGGCCACCCACACCCTCGTGTATTGTGCTGGCCTCATAGGTGCTATTCGTTCACAGAACTTGTCCCAACAGCCTGTGTGGATTATAAGGGGGGGGGAGCTTTGTCTTGTGATATTGAAACTACTGGCGTATTATCAGCGGTGGCCAACTCATAAGCGTGGAGGGTACGCATGCTTAATGCGCCATTGGTGGCGGATGCTTGAACACGGCTTAGTTACGCAGAACCGTATACCGTCATTGGCAAAACGGTTATAAGTAATATTATAATCGGAACCGTGATTGGCAAGGGATTGCTGTATATATGAATGTGTACAGTTGATCATCGATTATTCAGCATGCGATTATACGGCTTCCAACATTATTCGGTGGTCCTGGACTGATCCTGAGAAAGCGGGAAAACCGCTCTAAAGGCTGTTAATGAGTCCAGCGATCGGCACCATATACGTGACAAAAAAAAATATATGCTGGATTTCAGGATCAAATATTATTTGCAGTACATTATACACTTCATACAAAAACATAGAAAATGAAAATACTACACGTACGTACATTTTTCATGACTAATAACGCCAATAATAAAAACAGAAAATAAACAGTGCGATACGGCTGAAGTGCATGTAATTCACTGGTCTAAAGGCTGCTTAGGCCCGGCGATCGTCAAACACATGTTGTTGAAACAATAGTGTATGCACATCACCCATGCAGAGTCTTAGAGATTGGAGTGTTATGGTACAGTAAACACGGTAACTTTTTCCAGGATGATATTTGTTCGTGTCTATTTATGTTGTTTATTTTAGCCAATTTCACGTAGTAAACAAATAAAAACATACACAACACCTAAAACATGATATTATCCAAGAATGTCCAAAAATAAGCTGTTTAAAATAACGATTAGTGATTATCTAGCGTTTTTATTTATCCAGCGCCCCCTTACCACCGAAGTCACCAGATAATCGTTGATCTATTCCGTATATATTGACAGTTTTTGGCACAACACGGGACACATTCATTATTCTTCGCTACTAATGTGATAGCGTATTCGACGTTATGCCCCTTTGATAGAGCTACATGTGGTGGATTAAAGAGCTGTAAGATTAAAGGGCTTTCGAGACGCCAGTTTCCCTTCACTGTTCCATATGATGATGTTGATCATAATGTATGTGATGTGGGTGATCCTGGATCACAGTGCTGATGCTGACGATGCTGTTGTGACTGTGCAGACTGTCAGATCGAGCGCTGCATGAAAGAGAAGAAGAAATGTGAAGAGAAACTGAATAAATACCTCTCTGAGGAGGAGAGTGAGTGCAGCAATCGATCAGTAACTGCTAACCCTTAACCCTAGCCATTAACCCACTAACCCTAACCACTATCCCGAATAGATAATAACTAACCATTACCACAAACCCATAATCGTTAACCTAAGAACATTAAATCCAACCGTTAACCCCTAACCATTATCCAGCAAACCGAACAGTTAACCCATAACTTTTAACCACTAACCTTAACCCCAACTGTTAACCATTAACCATAGCCCCAATCGTTAACCACTATCCCATAACTGTTAACTATGAACCCATAACCATTAACGACTAACTATAACTGTTTAACCACTAACTGTTAACCACGAACCTTAACCATCAACCACTAACTCTTAAGAGCTAACCCGAACCATTAACCACGACCTCCACCCTTAGCCACAAACTCTAGCCCCTACACTCATCTTTAACTCCTACCCCTGACTGCTAACACTCATCTATCACCCCAACTCTAATATCTCTCCCTGAACACTTATCTCTTAATAGGTGGGAGTACCCACATTTTTCCCCACTCATCAAACTCACTGTGATTTTAGCTGTGATCGGGCTGAGTGTGGCCGGCATGGATACAGTGAGGTTCCTATAATTAAGGACTCGGATTTAGTAGGGTTCATATCGTTAGGACGTGGGTTCAGTGAAGTTCTTAACATTAGGATGATACATTATCTTCTTCTAGCGACAAGGCAAGTATGTGCAAATCACCCTTCAAGTTTAAGTCTGTGAGCCATGCAATAGCTTCAGGAGTAGCCACAACTAATACTGCATTAGTCCGCCGGAGAGAGCTGGCGTAGGATGAAGATCTTCACAATACAAGGTTTCATTGTTTGGTTATGATGCCCGCAGTCACACTGTGTGGGTTGTCTCTCATTCTCCACTTGTGGAGGGAGGTGTGGCGCAGCGACCAGCTGCTGTTCTGAAGCGGTTGATGGAGCACCATAGTTTTCTTGGTGGGAGATGGTAGCCTTCGTGACTCACCTGTTAAGTGCCTCATTGCACGACGGATACCATAATTTTGGCCTTTTATCAATTTCAACTGTGTAAATCACGTCCAAAGAACGGTCTTTTAATGGGCAAATTATCATTATTTGGCTGCGTTTCTGTCATTAAGCACGTGGATTTTGTGGGGTGTATTTTATTAACAACATGGATTTTGTGCGGTAGCCCCCCACGTTGTATGCAGGAAGCACATGTTCACCTTGCGGGGTTGATGCACGGCCCCTGCCGGGCCTCGTGTCTCTGTTCCCTCCCACAGAATGTGAGGGCGATGCATTCAACGATGTGGATATGAATTGCTTGCTGAAGTTTCGCACATCATTGGACCAACTCACAGGTGCAGAGATACAAGGAGCAGGCGCTAGCAATGTTGTATAGTAGCACAGTATCTGTCTTGTGTAGTAGGACAGTGTCCATCTTGTGTAGTAGGGCTGTGTTCATTTTGTGTAGGAGGGCAGTGTCCGTCTTGTTAAACATAAGGCCATGTTAATTCAGCCATGAACAGTGTGTTGTATGGTTTCCACCTGCGCCGTGTATCTGTGATGTTGTGCTTGCGTGTGTGTGCGTGCATGCATGCGTACGTTGTTCTCGTGAGTGAGAAATCGCTTGCATCTGAATGTAAACATCAATACTGGGGAAAACAAGGTAGCTGGGCAGGCATAATTCCAGCCACACCACCCCCTTCATGTGCCTTCCTGGCCCCCATTAAGTGCTGATGCTAGTGGACAGCAATTGCCTCACACAAACTGTTAGAGGCTACATGGGGGAGTTTTGTCTCTGTCTCTGTGTGGATCTAGACAGAGACAAGCTGGTCCCAACCGCCCCTACGATATTATGGAAACTTACACACAGTAACCCTGCGTAATTTCTGTAGGGATTAAAAAACGGGACATATCTAATAATTATTATAATTTACTGATTCATCCAGGAAAACCAAAATGAGTAGGATTATTTTTCAGGAGGGTCCTGCGGTTCTGCTTTGGGTTTTAATTCTAATATTTTTCCAATCAATCGATTATCAGTTGTGTTTACTATTCATATGGGGGGTGAAAGGGAGTTGCACACGGATAAAACCCATGGTGATAAGGGTGATGATGTTGTTGTCGGGGTTTGCAGAGTGCAAGAGGGACGGGTATCTGCTGAACAGGACAGTCTGCTTCAAGGAGGAGTGGTCGCGTAGAATTACCGCTTATGGTCAGAACCCCTAAAATTAACCCCTTAACTCAACCCCTAATCTCTGACCGTTACCCCTAATCTCTAACCCCTACCCATAATCTCTAACCCCTACCGCTAATCTCTAACCCCTACCTCTAATCTCTAACCCCTAACCTCTAACCCCTAATCTCTAACCCCTACCCCTAACCTCTAACCCCTACCCCTAATCTCTAACCCCTACCCCTGATCTATAACCCCTAATCTCTAACACGTATCCCTAATCTCTAACCCCTACCCCTGATCTCTAACCCCTAAACTCTAACCCCTACCCTAACCTCTAACCCCTACCCCTAATCTCTAACACCTACCACTAACCTCTCACTCTGTCCCTAATCTCTAACCCCTACCACTAATCTATAGCCCCTACCACTAATCTCGGAACCCCTAATCTCTAATTCCTACCACTAATCTCTAACCCCTACCACTAATCTCAACCCCTACCACTGATCTCTAACCCCTACCCCTAATATCTAACCACTAACACGGTGTTGGTCTCCTTGATTCTGCCAGCCACAAGCAAGCTCAAGGCATTCAAGATCTCCTCTGAGGCTCAAAGTGAGTGGTGGTGATGGTGGTGCACGACAATGACCATCGCTAGCTCTCACCCACACACATACATTCCACCATCACCATATTGCAAGCATCTATGAAGGCTGGTATGGCACACGAGGGGGTGGGTGGCCTGCACTACGCCCAGCCTTCCAGGTGGCGATGTTTACACACCACACCAGGTAGTTATTTGAGGCTAAGTTGACATAGGGGAGGCCGAGGACCAGTTCAGATAATCGTAAACGGCGTTGACCATGAGCAGGAATTGAACTCGGGTGGCCGAGTTCGTGGTGCAGTGCGCTAACTGCGATAATTTATCATCTCTAACTCTCACCTGCAAAAACACATTGCACAATCACCACGCCAGTCCAACGTTGACCCAACTGTTCTAAACCACATATAAACTAAACTAATTAAGGCCCACTGAGCTATATATATATTTTTCTGAAGTGCCATGGCCACGAATGATAGCTCAACAAAGTGGTTTGTTACGTAAAAATGGATAGCAGCTAAATACTCTCCATGCATATTTATAAATCGTGAGGGAACAACCAGCGGACCGAGAGAAAAATCCACGCAACTATGGGGAGAACAGGCATACTCCAATACCAATGTTCGGCCAATGTTCGGCCAATGTTGGGCCAACGTTGGGACAACGGGTCCAACAATTTGCTCACTGTTCGCACGGCTTGAAACTGACCAATCTGTCTCTTCTCCCCACGCCTCCATCCCCGGGGAGCTCAGAATGTGCATACAACAAGTGCTTCGACAACGTGAAGACCTGCCTGCACGAGCATCACACCGAGCTAGCTGTCAACCCAGGTAGAGGGGAACCCTCTCTCTATATCTCTCCCTCCACCACCACCACTGCCACAATCACCGCCACCACTATCACAATAGCCAACATCACAACCCCAAGCACCTATCAAAGGCCGCCACTGAGTGGGAGGGTGACCAGCACCACGCCCGACCGCCTTTGTCTCCCCAATGGCGATGTTTACTACACACCATACCAAGTACTTATGTGAGACTGAATCGCTCTAAGGAAGGTCCAGGACCGATTCAGGTAATCTCACTGGCGATGGCCGTGAGTGGGATTTGAACTCGGGTCATTGGGTTCATAGCTCAGCGTGCTAACTCCCCACACTCATAACCAATACCACCACCTGTCATTCGCCACTAAGTGATGGTGACGTGACCATTGTGCCTGTGCGAGGCCAACTGCACTTGGAGGCCACGTGAAGTTTTTAAGGCTTGCTGACATGTCATGGAACAGATCCAGGTTCCATGGGTTGACTGACTTGAGATGACTGGCAGATGCGCCCCCTACTGTGCCGTCTGATCACTGGAAATTAAAGTAACCCAACAGGTTGACTATCAAGAGGAGACACTTTAGCTAGCACTTGGGAAAGGAGGTTATGAAAGACTATCGGTCTTGTTTGCATCCCTTCACTAATATTAATCTTCGGCGGGGGGCGTAAGCAACCACCACAACCATTCCTCCCCCATACACGGACACGACTACACGTACGCAGATACACAAACACATAGGCGCGAAGACACAAAAAATACATGGATACAAATATCACAGATACTGTAACACTACTGCCACCGCTGCCACCAATATCGCAGCCACCGCCACCACTATCATCACCAACCAGTCAACCCGCAACAACATGCAAACAACGGTTGTGACGTCGTACGCAGCAACGGCAATGCGGCACAGAGTGGGGAAGATGGAGTAGCAGGGGGTGCGTGGTTTGTGGAGGGTGGCGGGATAGTGAGGTGTGAGGTATGAGAGGGAGGAGTGGCGTCGGTATCAGATGTCATAACCCGACTACCCGGAGACTCTGTGTTCGAGCGGGTGACCATGGACTGTGTCTCTCTCCTCCACAGCCTCGAAGCGTCGGTTCGAGATGGACCACTGCGCCTACGTGGCCGTCGACTTCCCCCACGGTGAGACTCTCTGTCTTTGTGGCTTGCTCCTCCCTTGCCTTGCGCTAATAAAGACTTCGCTGCAGTCATCAATGATTCTCGCTTTAACATGTACTAATTTTTCGCTTTAACATTTGAACCTCATGGCGGGACCCCGGGGTCCCATAAGCCCCCGGCTCTCACGCAAACAATTATAATGTAAACTAAAACTTTGCTCTTTTTCAGCAATGGGTTTGAAGGATGGTGGCAAGTGTTGTTTTGTTGAACTATGCCTTTAAAACTGAAAACTACTTCCTGCAGTACCTCTATTTAAATACACTTTTAAATACACTATCGAAAAAATAATTTACACCCCTCTGTCAATCATCTTGTTTCTCAGTGTGGATTTGTGAACGCACTTTGTAAACGGTACGGAAAATAGTACGCGTTTTCAAAGTGCTGTTCATATTTTAACAAGCGTTTATACCAATGTTACTCTACAGAGTAGTGGGTCACCACTCCTCTTATCCACATTGATACGAGCAGTATGTGGGGACTAAGGCTTAACCGCAAAAAAAAACTATCTGCACAGATGCATACGGATAAGAGAAGTATTATCAAACAGGAATAATTTACGGTGCAACGCATCTCATATGTTAAATATCTGCAGATAATAGGATTGTCATCGATTGATCCTGGCTGCAGACATTGGTAGGTCACAATAATGAAGATAAGAGAGCAGTTTCACTGTATTATGCATATCGTTATGACAAATAAATGACTTAAGTCGTGTAGGTAGTTTGAGCAGCTTTAGATAAGACTTATGATCCTGCCCAAACCCGAGCATGGAGTGCATTCGCTTGTTCAGCTCTTCTGTGCATTCGTCCTCGCTGCGCTAGGACGACATAACAACAGAATGATCCGCGCCAGGTGGTTTGCGGCGTTTATGTGCGCTGGTGGGACAGAGTCGTCAAAAATAAATAAGTTAATTACAATTTGGACTTCCGTTTATTCTAGACCCCGGGGTCCCCGCCATGAGGTTCATTTACTGATTATCGATTTATCAATGATGTGTAATAAAGTCAGCTATCACTATTCAGATCTCACCGCAATTAAGAAAATTATGCATGAGTTAGGAAAGAAGCACTCTGAATCCTGCTTAATCTAAACTCCTATAATATAAAAAAATAGCAATCACAGTACCCATGCAAATATACTTACTCGTCAATCCATACTAAATGCTCATAAAAGCAGCTGCTATGCTGCGCACATGTGGGTTGTCTGCACGTCAGTCTCGAACTGCAGCTGGAGCATGCTGCGGTCACGGTAGCCCAGCACGCTGCCTGGCAGCAGCCTTGGAAGTGATTTGGTGTGCGACCACCGTAGTTGTACACTCTCTAGAGGTCCCACGCTGTGCAGTAGCCTGCACGTGACTCCGCTCACACTCCGAGCCTCTTCACCTCATACAATGTCAGTCACATGACAACAAACTATTTTTCCAGCCTATAGCTTGGACAATATTTCATGCACACTCGATATTTGTGTATAACTCAAGTCTTAACTTGGAAAAGTTGCTTTATACTACCATGGACGTTCTTCCAACAATTCCCTGATACCTCTTAGCTTATCACAGTATTATATAGAAAATTCCTTCGCACAACAATAGCATGAGGAATTCTGTATAAGGTTCCTTGCTAACAAATATTCTTCTCAACATTTTTCCTCAACCACGTAACTTATCACACCTCTTAGCTTAGTAGAGCACTGGAAATCCTTGACTCTGCAAGTGACTCAAAATTAAGAAAAATGTAAAATTAAACATTCAGCGATCCTTAGAGTCTGACTTAGCAGGAACTCAACTCTATTGCCAGTCACGAGGGCAAATCTCGGAGTCTGCCTTTACAAAGAATATGATTTTTGTATACTGTTATGTAGGAATGTTTTGCTTATTTCATTAATTCATTGTGACACATCAAAAGTCCATAGCTCCTCCCACCTATGAATATGTGGTGCATCCATCGGGTCAGCCTTAATTCATCCCTGGTTCTGACTCTGCAGGCATCCTGGCACCCGATGTTATAAGCTCTATTATACTCCCTCCCTCCAGAGGTCATCCCAAGATTTGTGTGGACACAGACCCACTTAATTGCTCCTAGATGTGGTCTGTGTATGTGTGTATCTGTAGCCATGTGTTTGTTGTGAAACGGGCGTTCCTCTCTAGGTGTTCGTGTATTGGTTCATCCCTTCTCCGAGTGAGCCCGGTTTGCCGAGTTTTTCGGACTTTCGGTATGTAGGGATTGCGCATATGTCTACAAGAAGCATTGGCATTAAAAATAGGCAATATGACTTTTAATATAAATGTTTGGTTAAAGGCATATATACAACAGTAACCAGTGGGTAAACAGAGATAAAAATATATGCCAGGGGCCATTTTGTTTGATGCAGTGGCCATTTTGTGTAGGGTATTGGAGTTCAAAACTATTTTTTTATTTGACCAGGTAAAGCTCACTGAGCTATGTAGCTCTTTTTCAGAAGCGACCTAGCCACAAATGATAGCTCATTGAAGTGCCTTATGTGAAAATGTTTAGCAGCCAATTACTTTAGGTGCATGTTGATTCTAAATGTGGAGAGAAAAACTGGAGGAACCGGAGAAAAATCCACACGACCACGAGGAGAGAGACGAAAAATTCCAAATATACAGGTTTCAGGGTCGTGATTGGACCCACGACCTCCTTTATACCAGGCAAGGGAGTCAACATCTCGCCACCGTGGCGCCCATCTTGTTTGATGCAGTGCAGTGGCCATTTTGTGTAGGACATTGGCCATCTTTTGCAAAGTCGGTTTGTTGTCTGTTGTTTCAGAGTGCGAGAACATAATCAGCATCGCAGGATGTGCGGACAGCATTGCAACATGCATCGAAAACCATCCTGACTACACCTATTTAGGTGAGTGGAGAGAGGGAGAGTCGCTCGTCACTTGCAAATTAGTTTTGACAGGTTACTGAGCTAGTTCTGACTTTAAATGTCATGTTAGTGCTGTGGAGGCAGGAGTTAGTGTTGGTGGATCACACACAGATGGGTTTGAAACTCCCTTCCCGTGGGTGGGTGTCAACGAGGGACCATACACTGGCTCTGCTAGAAGAAGTTTGCAGAACAAAGTGCATGGATTAATCTTCTGTTACAGCTCACTCCCTTCTACCCATGGGTGGGCATCGAGGGGGAGCTGGACCCCTGAGTGTGCCAGGAGAAGGCACACTCAGTCGCAAAGTGTGTGGATTCATCTCCATCTGTTCCATCTGTGTGCGATAGAGTGTTACCCCCCCCTCACATGCGTGGGTTATCGCCGGGCTTTCATATATAAGGTGTTATCAACCAGTTATGAAAAGGGGGATGGGGTTGGCTGGGTTGGGTTGGCTGCTGCCTTCTGCTACTCCTCTGTGGTTTCTCCCCACTTATATCCCTCTCTCTCTCTTTGAGAGCAATGAGCGAATACTACACGGTTAAAGCAAGTTACACATTCAAAAATTTTCATCAATAACTTCAATAATTCGTTAAATTATGAATGTCGTGGAATCACTAATCCATCACAAACACCTCTTTTTTGTCCCTCTCCTCCTCCACTGCCTGTGCAACAGTGATCATTGGAGGAGTGGTGGGCGCGGTGGCGGTGGTGGCAGTGGTGGTGGCTGTCTCGTTCAAATTCAGAGAAGAAATCTGTATGGCCACTCCACGTGCTCTACCACTCAGATTCTGATGCAAAACATTGCAATTACGATATTGGCGCATGTGCATGCGTATATATGCGTCTTTGCTGATGTAGGGGTGTTAAAGAGAGGGCCCGTTATGCATGGCAGCCTATGGAAAACAAACACAGTGGGCGGGGCTACGTAAGTGCACGAGCAAGTGCTCTCTACGACGTCCGAGCCAGACACCCTGGGGGGGGCTGGTTCGAACGTTATGATCCCCCGGGGCCCCACCCCTCAGGGAGGGGTTGGGTATAAAAGGGGATGTTTCAAAGGGCTCGGCAGTTATGTTTAAGCTAAGGGAAGAAGATTGAAGACGTCTTAGATAGAGCCCTGGACTCCCCTGGTTCGATGTCCTTTTCAGGGCCGGACAGGATTGAGCCAGCGGCGTGGTCCCGAAAGCCAGAGCCGGTGCTCTTGTAAGAGCTGGTCTGGAACTCCGGGTACCGGGCCCGACTTACCAGTGTCGGGCCAGTTAGCCTCCCCTAGCCCATTAGTGGAGGATTCGGGGCTAGGACAGAGTTAGCTAGGGGTGTATCCCGAGTTATACGGGTGAGGGGGCCGATACCCCCTCGAGAGTGTATATGCCCACTGTCATACTGTGAAATAAATATACGTGTGCCTCAACCTCGGCGTCAAGCATCTTCACCGGTACTTCAACTGGTGTCAGAAGTAATTCGAACATGGACACGCGGAAAACAGCGCGGGCCAAAGTACCGCAGGAGGAAGACACTGCCGAGATCGTCGAGCCCGAGACGGCTCCACAAGACAAGGTGCAGCCGGGGCCTGACGCCTCCTTACCGGGGCATCGAAATGAAGAGGGGCCGCAGCCAGACGCGTTACGGCTGGCTCACGGGAGGCTGGCGGAGCTGCTGTATGCCGCTGCCGCCACGCTGGAGACCATCACGCGACTAGGGGCCGGTGATCCAACACGGGGCGAGGCGAGCCAACGACCAGGGCGCCTTCCCGCCATTTCGGAGCAGTCCGAATTTGAAATTCCCGCCATCGACGCTACAGCTGTTCGGGGCGTGGCCAGCCTAGACATCCGCTCCGACATCGCCGTCGCTGAAGCTGCAACGTCATCACAAGCGCGACAGGCGATCCCATCGGCCGTTCGCACCGACGCACAGCCGAGTGGTGGTGACATCAGCCTGCGGGAGTCCACAACGACCGCTGCGCTTCATCAGAGACTGCCCCCGCTGAAGGAGTTCATCGGCGCGGAGGGGGACTGGGCCGGTTTTCGCCGACGTTTCCTCGCCCATCAGGAGATGGCGAAATGGTCCGATGAGGAGGCTCTCTGCGCGCTGCCGGCGCTCCTCGATGGCGACGCGCTCGCCGCCCTCACATCGGCGCCGAGAGAGAAGCGGTCTACGTTACCGATGGCACTACAGCTGCTGGGCGGGGTCTATGGACCATCGGCTGAATGCCGACAGCAATTTTACGACCGCAAGCGGGGTGAGAAGGAGTCGCCCCTAGCATATCGGACGAGCCTCCTGGCGATGGCTAAGTCGGCCTTCCCTCGTATGGACGACGACGGCGTGGACGCGATGGTCACGGAGAAGATCCTCCTCCTGGCAGACGACCTTGACATCGCGGTCGTCGCCCGGGAGGACGAGGAGATGACATCGCTCCAGGCGGCGCGGCTCCTCCACGCCAACCTCCTGTCACTGCGGCGGAAAGCCAGCAGGGCATCGGCGGGGCGTGCGGTGGCTGCAGCCACCATTCCGACGGAGGAGCTCTACGCCGTCGACCACCGACCGCAACAGGCGACAGGAGCACGGTCGGGCCGGGACGGGCCGGGCCGTTTCAACCGTCCGTCTCCTCCAACGGCGCTCCCGCGGTGTTTCAACTGCGGCGTCCGGGGCCACGTCGCCTCGGGGTGCCGCGCTCCTCGACAGCGCGGGACGACACCTCAACGGGACGACGGGCCTCATCACAAGCTCCACCATCATAACCCGGCGAGTCGCGGCACCCCACATGTTTGGCCCACACACACACCCGTCACGCACTCAAACACCGCAACGAGAGGGGGGCCGATATCGCGCACCATCGCACCATCACGCACCACCCCGGGTACTCATATCGAACCCGGCCAGTGGTCCGTGCTGGCCGATCGTATGGTAGCCGCATCGTCGGGGTCGTCGGCCGTTGTGGGGCACATCGACGGGGTTGAAGTGCGCATCCTGGTCGATACGGGAGCATCGGCGACCATTATTTCGGAGTTGATTTACAATATTCTCCCTGTCCGGAGTCGTCCTTTGATGCCTGTTAACGTACCATTCTATGCGGCTAACGGGGGCTCACTTGGCATCATCGGACAAATTCGTGCCCAAATTTGTATTGGGGAAATTAAATTGTCTGGGCCGATTTTTGTTTCCTCCTCGCTGGCGGTTCCGTGCCTGCTGGGGACGGACTTCCTGGCCAAAATGCCGATTAGGATATTGATCGACCAGGGATGTATTGAGCTCCCGTCGGGCAAACGCATGGCGTTTCTGCCATCGCCTGTTACGACTCGGACGGTGTTCGCGACGGTGCCGGCATTCGTAGAGAGAACGGTGCGCGTCCCTCCGGGGGCGCAAATGTTGATTCCCTTGAAACTTCGGCGGCCCTTCGCTAAGGGTGTTGGGGCCCAAGGGGTTCTGCTGGGGCCGTCTAGGGCCGGGGTTAGTGGACCTCATTTACTTCCGGCCCAGACCATAGTAAGAGGGGACGGTGAACCCTTCATCGCGGTCCTCAATGTGGGCTCGCAGACGGTGGTGGTCCCACAGGGGACCGTGCTTGCTCACGCAACGCCGGTGCCATATGAGGAACCCGTCGCAAATCACGTCAGCGTTGTCCCTGCGCCGCGACCGCATTCGGACAGCGATGAAGGGTGGCTCGAGGCGCTTTGTGCGGGATCGACGGACCTGTCAGATTCAGAGCGTCAACAACTTAAAACACTACTGCGGGAATTTTCCGACGTTTTTAGTCGGAATAAATACGATTTGGGTTGTACTCACCTGCTGCGTCACCATATTGACACGGGTGACAGCGCGCCAATTCGCCAAAATCCGTTTCGGTTGAGTCCCGCCGAAAAGGACCATGTCAAATCGGCTGTTGATGACATGTTGGCCGCCGACATCATTTCTCCTTCCACCAGCCCTTGGGGAGCGCCGATCGTCCTGGTTAAAAAGCAGGACGGTTCGTTGCGGTTTTGCGTTGATTTCCGGCGTCTTAACAAAATTTCGGTTGCCGACGCATACCCGCTCCCTCAGATGGATGAATCGCTGGACGCCTTGGCGGGAGCGCAATTCTTTTCCACACTGGATTTACTTTCGGGATTCTGGCAGCTTCCTCTGGACGATGATTCAAAGCCTAAAACTGCTTTCCGTACACCGCATGGCCTGTTCCAATTCAACCGGTTGCCGATGGGCTTACACTCAGCGCCGGCAACTTTCCAGCGTTTGATGGAATTGGTTTTGGCTGGATTGCAATGGGAGTCGTGCCTCATTTATTTGGATGACGTTATCGTCTTTAGTAAAACTTTTGACGAACATCTCCAGAGGTTGCGGGCAGTTTTCCTAAAGATGCGGGCTGCTAATTTGAAATTCAAGCCCCAAAAATGCCATTTGTTGCGCGATTCGGTGCGTTATTTGGGGCACATCGTGGGACGCTCAGGTATTGCTACCGATCCCGCCAAAACGCAGTGTGTCAGCTCCTGGCCGACTCCCACCTCGGTGGGAGAGGTCAGGAGTTTCATTGGGTTCGCGTCGTATTACCGACGGTTCGTCGTTGATTTTGCGACAATTGCAAAACCCCTGCACGCTTTAACATCTAAAGGGGTTCGGTTCCACTGGGGTCAAGAGGAGGAGGCTGCTTTCTGCTCCCTTCGGGACGCCCTGGTAAAAGCCCCTCCCTTGATTTACCCAGATTTTTCTAAGCCCTTTTTGCTCGACACCGATGCGAGCAACACGGGTATTGGGGGTGTGCTTTCCCAGGTGGTTGATGGCGTGGAACGGGTGGTCGCGTACGGTAGTCGGGTGTTGTCTCCTGCGGAGCAAAGATATTGTGTCACCCGTAGGGAACTGTTGGCAATTGTCTATTTCATCCAACAGTATCGCCCATATCTGTACGGTCGGCATTTCACCGTCCGCACAGATCATGCGGCACTACAGTATGCCCTGCGAGTTCAACAACCATCGGGACAGTTGTCTCGATGGTTGGAGGTTCTCCAGGACTTTGATTTTGAAACCACCTACCGTAAGGGCGTTCGCCATACGAATGCGGACGCTCTGTCGCGCATGCCAACCACCTCCGAATGTGCATGCCTCCTGGGGTCGGGACGTTGCAGGCCTTCAGGGGACGCATCGGTTCCGATCTTAGCAGCCACCGACGACGACGAACCATTGGTTACTAATTCGATCGAACAACAGGGAAGAGATTCCCTGTTGGGGTTGCCCGTCACTGAATGGGGGCGCCTCCAAATGGAGGATACCTCCCTCCTCGGGTGGCGTCGTCGCGTCGGGGGTGCTGGGCGGGTGAAGGGTGATTCGGATGCATGGGAAATGGTGCAAGGTCTGCTGATGCATTGGGACGGCAAATCCCAGCGACATCGGCTGGTGGTCCCTTCTGAGTTGCGAGGCAAGGTGGTGTGGGCCGCGCATGAGCGCCTATTACACCTGGGGACCCAAAAGACTCTTGCACTGCTACAACTTGATTCTTTTTGGCCTGGTATGACGAGGGATGTTGGGGATCTATTGGGATCATGCCCTCGGTGTGCGCAACGGAAACCGCCGGCGCGGGAGTCTAACCCGCCCTTGCAATCGATCAAAGTATCCAGAATAAATGAGCTTGTCGCGCTGGACATTTTGGGCCCATTTCCCGCCACCCCCAGGGGCAATAGGTATTTGTTGACAGGTGTCGAGTATTTTACGCGCTGGCCTATGGCCTGGCCCCTTGCCAACCAGTCGGCAGCAGCCATCGTGGAGGCCTTTGTTCAGGGATACGTCCTGGACAAAGGTGCTCCGGAGCGGCTGCTGACCGACCAGGGCAGAAATTTTTCCGGTAAATTACTCAAACAAGTCTGTGACCTCTTAGGCACGAAGAAAATTCGTACCTCCCCGTATCACCCGCAAACTGACGGAATGGTCGAGCGCCTGCATCGCACCATTACGTCAATGATGTCACAGCAGGTCTCGGACTCGCAGACTGACTGGGACCTGCATATTCAAGGGGTCTTGGCGGCATACCGGATGGCACCCCATGCAGCTACGGGATTTTCCCCCTTTTACCTCATGTACGGTCGCGAACCCGACCCGCCTGTTCGCGCCCAGCTGCAGATCCCCGACCCGCAAGGGAAAACTAAATTGGCTGACCACGTCAAATTTAATCTGGCCAAATTAACAGAGGCGCGGGATGCTGCTATGCTAAACTCGGACCTCCGTCAAAAAGCGAATGAGCGCCTCAGGCTGGGTCGGGCGCACGTGATACAGTGGAAGCCGGGGGACAAGGCATGGTTGCACTGTCCCCAAGTGCCCCTGGCTACCTCCCCTAAGCTGGCGCGGCCGTGGCGGGGCCCTGTGGAGGTGGTCGAAGTTTTGCGACCACAGTGCGTGCGCATTAAATGGGGGAAGCGGCGATGGTTCGTGCACCCCTCTAGGTTAAAACCCCTCGTTGCGGTACACAAACCCACTTCACACATGCGTGGCCAAACGTGTGGGGGGTCGACCGACTCACTGGGTCCGTCTCCGTCGTTCTTACCTAATGCCTTGCCGGCCGTGCCACCTCCAGGTGCATCAGGACTGACGGGCTCACGCCCGACCACCCCTCCTGGGGATACCGACGGTCGCGCGGCATCGGATGAGGTCTCACTCCGGGACGGACAATTGCCACCTTACGGTCCGCCACCCGGGGTTACCCCGTGTGAGGGGCCCGCTGCAAGGACGCGCGCAAAAATGCGCAGACTGTTATGAGGCCGGAAGATGTGTACATAGGTTGTGTTCATCGTGTGTTGTGTGGGTGGTGTGTTCCCTGCCCATTGAAATGTACATACGTTGGGTTCACCTGGTGTTGTGTGTATGGTGGGTTCCCTGCAAATTGTATATAGGTTGTTTTTTTTACGGAATTCGTATTTATTCAAGGGGGGGTGCGTCGGGTTGTTTTCTCTTCTTGCTGTTGCATTTTGTTGTGTTCTTGTTGCTGTTCTTGTTATTGTTGAAAAATAGTGAGGCACACGCGCGGTCAAGGGGTAAATGCACTTTTATTGTCATTTTTGTATGTTGGCAGCCGGGACGGCTGCAAGCTATGCGGGGGGGGTGATGTAGGGGTGTTAAAGAGAGGGCCCGTTATGCATGGCAGCCTATGGAAAACAAACACAGTGGGCGGGGCTACGTAAGTGCACGAGCAAGTGCTCTCTACGACGTCCGAGCCAGACACCCTGGGGGGGGCTGGTTCGAACGTTATGATCCCCCGGGGCCCCACCCCTCAGGGAGGGGTTGGGTATAAAAGGGGATGTTTCAAAGGGCTCGGCAGTTATGTTTAAGCTAAGGGAAGAAGATTGAAGACGTCTTAGATAGAGCCCTGGACTCCCCTGGTTCGATGTCCTTTTCAGGGCCGGACAGGATTGAGCCAGCGGCGTGGTCCCGAAAGCCAGAGCCGGTGCTCTTGTAAGAGCTGGTCTGGAACTCCGGGTACCGGGCCCGACTTACCAGTGTCGGGCCAGTTAGCCTCCCCTAGCCCATTAGTGGAGGATTCGGGGCTAGGACAGAGTTAGCTAGGGGTGTATCCCGAGTTATACGGGTGAGGGGGCCGATACCCCCTCGAGAGTGTATATGCCCACTGTCATACTGTGAAATAAATATACGTGTGCCTCAACCTCGGCGTCAAGCGTCTTCACCGGTACTTCACTTATGTACATGTGTATGCATGATTGTGTGTGCGTGTCAGTGTGTACATGTGTGCGTGCATGTACACATGTGCGTGTGTGTGCGCTTAGCCCACATTCCTAGCTACTGCATATCCAAACAGCTTCCATAGCTGAATAGTGGGGGCTAAAAAAGCGTAGCACGAGAAGGATATGGAGCTGAGTTAATTTGCTAATGACTGGTACCAGCAGTGTCAAGATCGGCTTCTGTGGACGAGGTTCGTGAAAAATTATTTTGGGAGTTTTTGCTGAAGGGCGACTGCCTCCAACGGAGGGCAGAGGAACGATGCTCACAACAATAAGTGGAGCACGGCTAACACGCAGAAAGTTGGCACAGTAAGGGGCACAGATGGTGCATCTGCCACTCATCTCAGTCAGTCAACCCATGACACCTGGTTTTGTCCTGTGACCTGCTACCAGCTGGGCTTCGACATTTCCCGTGGCCTCAAAATGCACCTGGCCTGGCAAAAATGCCGTGATGACATCACCGCCACTTCGTGGCGATTGGCCGGTATTGTTGTTGTGGGGAGTGGTAGTACAAACCCAGCGAACCAAGTTCTATTCCCGCTCATGGCCACAACACCAGTGGCGATTTTCTGAATCGGGCCTGAGCCTTCCTTTAACCTCAAATTAGTAACAGAACCAAGGCAACCGAACAAAACTAAAGAGAGAAGGCCATTTTAAAGAGATTGGTTTTCAAAGCAGACTTAAATATATCTACCAACTCAGATTCTGTGATTTCAAGTGGTGTGGAGTTCCATGGTTTGGGTGACATACTAACACAAGCCCATTCACCTAAAAAGTGCAACCTAGACCTGCAAGTGCTGAGCAGTATTTTCTTATTGGAATATATACATTTATTAGTTCCTGCAAATAATGTAGGGTGAGCCCATTTAAAGCCTCATAAGATAATAGGATACTCTTAAAATCCAATAGGAATTTGACTGGTAGCCCGTGAAGAGATAAAAGGTCTGGTGTAATGTGCTCACAGAATGGCGTACATGTTGTTGTGACATCGCGGATGTCACTGTGTGGTGTCCGTAGAGAGGCACAGCATGCAATGCACTTACATCGTGGACATCGCGTATGTAGTGAAATGGTGGATGTCACTGGGTAATGCCGGCGCTAGCGAGGCACGGCGTGCGATGTATTGCCATCGCGGCAACCCCGTATATGTGGGTGTAGTACCAGCCCTTTTTTAAATTGGATGACAGCCGCCATCTTAAAATGTCTGAAACTGTGCTGGTATTGAGGGACCTGTTGAGAAGACTGGGGATAAACGGCCTCAGCATAGCAGAATGGTCCCGTAACAGCCTTGAAGGACAGTTGGTGGGTCGAGAGATAGCAAACAAAGAGATGAGTTCCGCTGTTGAAATTGCGGGAAACTTGGTCAAAATGTGTCCTGGAACTGAGCCGGAGGTAAGTACTGTAAGTAAGGGAACAGTGGGAAAAGACTCTAATTTGGTTAATTTAAATATATAATATTTAAATTATCTGGTACAGAAATCAGCGGAAGAGTGGGAGACTACATTTGGTTACTTATTAAAAAGTTGACTGAGACAGGAAAATTATTTCTGAGGATTGTTATCACTATTTGGAATGCGACCAATAATGCAGAACGATTTAGCCAAGGCAATGTTGTTATGATGAGTACAAAGTTGTTCTTTGATGAAGCGTGAGGCTGGACTTTTTCCAAGCACGTTCTGCTTCATGGACATATTTTTGCACCCTCAATTCCGAAGTGTACCATGTCGAAGGTCAATGGGAAGATATCCAACGGGTTCGGAGGGATTCCTGTTACCCCCTTCAATACATCGTGCTTTGTGTTTTGTACTGGGCTCTCATTGAAAAATAATTAAATAAACGTGTTTTTACGTCGCTGATCTTCTTCTTTCGTAGGGTATGTAAGCGACAGTTGGAATAGATTGTGTCATAGTTGAATGTTAAGGTCCTTCAACCAAACCAAGGCAGCAATAGATGCTGTATTGATTGCAGCGATAACGCCAGGGTGTACGCGTATGGCGCAGCTCATTAGTGATTTTTTTTGATGTTTTGGGATTTACCACAGTTGCAGTTTAGTGATTCTTTGCTTTTCCATTTGTGGAACAACGTGTTACGACGCGCATCTCCCGTGCTGTGTCCGAGCGCGGTTCAGTGTCGGGGTTCACAGCCATCATGAGAGAGAGAGCGAATCCCGGCACTTCCATGGTCAGGTCTTCAATGTTTTTTTTGTTTGCCACGTTCATAGCCGCATATGCGGACACAGGACAAACGAATAACCCACGTGATACGTTTCATGTAGTTCGTTATGTGTGTTATGTTACACGTGTCATTTTAGATGTATTATGTTATTGATATCAGTTGTTGTTGTCGTTATCTTTCAGCCGCATTCATTGATCAATTGAGAGATCGCCTCCGTGAGTACCCACAACAACCACAACAGCTTCCAACCACAACCACGGTGTTAGTCTTACAGCGGTGTCATGCGGGGAGGCAGGGCGGTGGTAAGGTGGTGAAACTCGCGCGACCTCGCAGCAAGAAGCGAGGGGTCTGGGTTCGAGTCCCCTCTTGGGAGCCACTTTCTGTGTGGGGTTTCGTGTGATCTCAGGGTGGGTCTACAGAGCGACGGAGTGAGTGTGTTAATGGGTTGAGTGTGGATGTTCTCTCCCCTGTTCTGCATACGTTTTCGCCAGGGTTCCCTGCTTTTCTCCTCCCATAGCATAGTGTATAGTAGTGTAGTGTATAGTCTTGTAGTGTATAGTAGTGTAGTATGTACAGTGATGGAAAAAAGTATTTGATCCCCTGCTGATTTTGTACGTTTGCCCACTGACAAAGAAATGATCAGTCTATAATTTTAATGGTAGGTTTATTTGAACAGTGAGAGACAGAATAACAACAACAAAATCCAGAAAAACGCATGTCAAAAATGTTATAAATTGATTTGCATTTTAATGAGGGAAATAAGTATTTGACCCCTCTGCAAAACATGACTTAGTACTTGGTGGCAAAACCCTTGTTCGCAATCACAGAGGTCAGACGTTTCTTGTAGTTGGCCACCAGGTTTGCACACATCTGAGGAGGGATTTTGTCCCACTCCTCTTTGCAGATCTTCTCCAAGTCATTAAGGTTTCGAGGCTGACGTTTGGCAACTCGAACCTTCAGCTCCCTCCACAGATTTTCTATGGGATTAAGGTCTGGAGACTAGCAAGGCCACTCCAAGACCTTAATGTGCTTCTTCTTGAGCCACTCCTTTGTTGCCTTGGCTGTGTGTTTTGAGTCATTGTTATGCTGGAATATCCATCCACGACCCATTTACAATGCCCTGGCTGAGGGAAGGAGGTTTTCACCCAAGATTTGACGGTACATAGCCCCGTCTATCGTCCCTTTGATGCGGTGAAGTTGTCCTGTCCGTTTATCAGAAAAACACCCCTAAAGCATAATGTTTCCACCTCCATGTTTGACGGTGGGGATAGTGTTCTTGGGGTCATAGGCAGCATTCCTCCTCCTCCAAATACGGCGAGTTGAGTTGATGCCAAAGAGCTACATTTTGGTCTCATCTGACCACAACACTTTCACCCAGTTATCCTCTGAATCATTCAGATGTTCATTGGCAAACTTCAGACGGGCATGTACTGTAGGTGGGTAAGTTGGGTGAGTGGGTGTTGAGTGAGTTAGTCCACCACCACCCGACACAGCCAATTTCAAAGGTTTGTCACGTGGACTAAACGTGCCAATCAGCTATTACTTCAGGACACCATTGTGATGAAGCGCGTATACCCACATCATTTACAATTCCAGTACTCTAATGTGTTGCCGTTGTTTACAACCAGCTTCACCAGGCGATTTTCCAGAATTGTCAAGAAGTATTCTTGCTTCCGGTCTTAAATGGAGCAACATGATCAAACCCAAAAACGTTAGATGATTATGTTATTGAAATCAAGTTGTTGTCGTTATCTTTCAGCCGCATGCATTCATCAATCGAGAGATCACCACGGTGAGTACCCACAATAGCTTCCAACCACAACCATAGTGTTAGTCTTACAGCGGTGTCACGCGGGGAGGCAAGGCGGTGGTAAAGTGGTGACACTCGCGCGACCTCGCAGCAAGAAGCGAGAGGTCTGGGTTCGAGTTCCCTCTTGGGAGCCACTTTCTGCGTGGGGTGTCGTGTGATCTCAGGGTGGGTCTGCAGAGCGACCGAGTGCGTGTGTTAATGGGTGGAGTGTGGATGTTCTCTCCCCTGTTCTGCATACGTTTTCGCCAGGGTTCCCTGCTTTCCTCCTACCATAGCATAGTGTATAGTAGTGTCGTGTATAGTCTTGTAGTGTATAGTAGTGTAGTATGTATACATGCTGAACATTCGCACCGTATGTAGCCAAACGTGCTAATCGAAGGTTCAGGGGAAGGACAACAAACTAAACGCAAAAAGTGGTTCTAAAGAAATGTTGGTTGGTGAGTGGATGGGTTAGTGGGTGGGTGAGTAGTGTGGCAAATGAGTGGGTAGTTGGGTAAGTTGGGTGAGTGGGTGGTGAGTGAGTTAGTCCACCACCACCCGACACAGCCAATTACTAAGGTTTGTCACGTGGACTAAACGTGCCAATCAGCTATTACGTCAGGACACCATTGTGATGAAGCGCGTATACCCACATCATTTACAATTCCAGTACTCTAATGTGTTGCCGTTGTTTACAACCAGCTTCACCAGGCGATTTTCAAGAATTGTCAAGAAGTATTCTTGCTTATGGTCTTAAATGGAGCAACATGATCGAACCCAAAAACATTTATTGTGAATATTATTAATCGTGAAAGACCACGTGTTGAATGGAGCTTTCGTGTAACGTTGCGGTGCTATGAGAGACTAGGCATGGAGAACACCAAACACATAGATCAGACTGTTGAGATTAAAAAAAAGAGTGCTAAATGTTTTTTTTTTAATTATACAAAACCCGTTAGCGCTATTTTTGTATCTGTATGTGTGTGCAAGTGTGTGCATCGTGAATCTTGACCCTAATCTACTCCATCTCCTCTCCGCAGCTGTCGACAGCCAGCCGGTTGATCTAGTTATATAGAGGAAGCAAAATGAAAGCAGCACTCTCCAACACTCTCATCCCCACAGTCCCCATTTTCAACACTCCTCCCACTCTTCTCCCCCTCTCCCCCCCCCTCATACTAGGTGATTAGGGGTGGGTGGTCCTTGTACTGGCCAATAGCTGATTAGGTTCTCGCTGTCACTAAGTTGGTTAACCACTGTAGTTTGTGCTCCTTTAACAGAAGAGCAGGAGCAAAAAAACCCTCAGCTGATGCTCTCTCGTTGTGGCCAGTAGCAGCAGAACTCCGTATTGGGTATGCAGCTCCTGCACCACATCGCTGCTGTTGCTGCCATCATCAAGCCCAAGAGAGTCGAATATAATCACACAGAGAGATGCATCAATATTCAGAGACGTACATAGAGACTTAGTGATACTTAAAAACCCAGAGAGGTATATAGAGACTCCTATAGATACACTGAGACTCGTAGAGGCTGTATAGTAAAACGACTGCGGTCTGTGCTCCTTCAACGCCCTCTGGTTGTGGCAGCAGAAGCAGCAGGACCTCCACAATGGGCATCGAGCTCCGGAACTACGTCGTTGCTGCTTCCACCAAAAGTAGAACAGAATCACACTCGCGTGTGTGTATGTGAGAGTGTGCACCACAAAGGGGAGTGTTAGTGTAGCGGTTAGCATGCTGTGCTACGAACAGGGTGACCCGAGTTTGATTCCTGCTCACAGTTAAACCAGTAACGATTATCTGATCGGGTCCTGGGCCCTCCCCTAGGTCGACTCAGTTACAAATGAGTACCTGGTGCGGTGTGTAAACATCGCAACTGGGGAGAAAAAGGCGGCTGGGCTTTGTGCTGGCCACCCACCCCCCTCGTTTGCCATGCCGGCCTTCACAGGTTCTCGCTGACAGCACTTGCCCAACAGTTTGTTAAGGCTATACGGGGAATCTTTGTCTTTATCTTTTTTATACCAGAGAGACATTTGTACGGGTGAGCGACGTAGACGGGTGAGTGACATAGACGCGAATTGAGTTGGTAGTTCGTGTTCCTCCACTAAAGGAGCGACCGCGCGATTTGTTATTGCAATTTTATAATCACAATCGTCCTTATTTACCTTCATATCACTGTGTTTTAAATTTCCAGTGTCCTTGCTATCGCCTCCACACTCCCTCTGAGCATTATGATCGATTTACTGGCCCCACTCAGATTCGGCCATCGCCTTTCTGTTTCTTTCAGACTGTTAACGGTGGTTAGGGAGATTGTATCTTCTTGTCCTGGTATACAAGAGGTCGTGGGTTCGATCCTGACCCTGAAGACGCCTGCTTTTGTATATTTGGAGTATGCATCTCTCTCTTTCCCCCGTGGATTTTCTCCAGGTCCTCCAGTTTTCTCCTCCACATTTAAAATCAACGACATGCGTTGCGAGTATTTGGCTGCTATACATTTCCACGTGATGATGAACCACTTTATTTAGCTATCGTTTGTAACCAGGTCCCTTCTGAAAAAGAGCTACGCAGCTCAGGGGGCCTTACCTGGTTAAATGAAAGTAAAACGATAGCTCAACAAAGTGGTGTATCATCACGTCGAAAAGCTTTAAGTCAAGATTTAATGAAAGTCAGTTTAATAGTGAACGAGTATTCATATTCTTGGGTTTTTTCGGTAAAGTCACGTAGGTATACAAACACAGACATAATTTCGACCGTGATGATGGTTACAAACTGAGTAATCGTTGGAAAGATATTCTTAGGTTTTTTCGGTAAAGTCACGTAAGTCACATTCATAAGACTATGAATCCTTGCAGTCACGAAAGCTTCAAACCTAGAACATTGGAAAGATGTGATTAACCATGCAAAAAAGATTTAACTACACTTATTTGGACCATCTTATTTGACAGACAACTATTACAGGTTATTGATAGACAGCCGTTCTTGTTTTACCAGGTTTAGGTTTTTTCTTTTTTCACACTTTTGTTATGTAGGCTAGGCGTAGTCACAAACTGTACCTCTCCATAACAAAGGCTCAGTCTTTTGTTATGCAGTCTATTCTTAGTCTTAAGCCTCACCTTACCATATTAATAAAAAGTGTGCCGTACTTGGCCCTTCCCACTCTTCAACCATTATATATACGGAGTGGTAGCTCTTGTAATCTCTCATTAACTTGATACAGCTGTCGTGGCTGTGACGGTTCCACCTGAGGACGGAAGCTTGTGTTGCCTCCGAAACGTCGTGATTTTTATTTTATTTTACTTTTATTAATTTTAATTTTTTACCTACGTGACTTTACCGAAAAAACCTAAGAATATGAATCCTTGCAGTCACGAAAGCTTCAAATCTAGAAGTGAACGAGTAGTCTGCTGGGGTTCAAATAGAAACCGGAGCACCCCGTATGATCAATCCTTAGCTTTTAGGTCTCTCCACTTATACGAATGAACTATTTTGTTTGGAATGTAATCTTTCTCTCACTCTCGCTCTCTCTCTTATACAAGAGGCAAGGGAACTCTCACATCTTCATTTTGTCTGTCCAATGTGGCAGCTATTTTGTGACATGGCCACTATTTTGTCCATGTGACATGGCCGTCATTTTGTCCGTGTGACATGGCCACGATGTTGTTCGTCTCAAATTGCTGTTACCTTATACATGCCGCTGTACAAAAGCTGGGGAGTCTAAATCGATTAAAGCTTGGTTTTACAAAACTGACATTGCTTCTCAACGAGTCTCTCTGAACGTACATTATTATAACACAGCGACCGAGCAGAGGAGTTGGAGGGTGGCTCAGAGGGCACCGCTGAGATTCTGGGTTTGCACCCTGAGTCTGGGTTTTTCTCAACGGAGTCATAATGGCTATGTCAGGGACACATATCTTGGGTTCGAGCCTTTGGTCTGGTGTTCTTGCAGGTTTGCAATGGCTTTGCCAGGGGACCCTGGGTTCATAGTTTTCCTGCCCTCAATGAATGTAGCTATCATGAGTTGCGAGGAGTTCGCACTATTGACGAGACCTAGAAAGGTGAAGCGGTTTCAGGGTTTGTATGTATATTGAACTTCTTTCACACTGTACATAGCCAACTGGCAAAGAAAAAAATAAAAACGCAGTTAAAAAAATAAGAGTTGTCAATGTTGATGATGTAAATGTGCATAGCCCCAGTGATATCTAAGATTTGAAGGAAGAGCATTCCAGACTGCCGCAGAAGTGCACCTGAAAGTGCGGGATGCGGTGACCATCGTTGTTCGATGGCTAGCAAAGAGCCGCTGCTGCGAGGTGAACCGGATTCCCGTGATGGCTTATATTCTTGACGAGATCAGCAGCAAGGTATCGTGGTTCATTTGTGTAGCGGCCCGTATTAGTCACTAAGCTCCCACACTCGGGAGTTTTGCCCCCAACCCTGTACCGATGGTGGACGGCGTTTGGCTCTGGAGAAGAAGGACCCCTTCCTCCTGCCTCTCCCAGCCATCTGCTTGTCTGCCTGTAGGGGAGGGGAATATTTGACAGAGAAAGAAGTGACCGGCATGGGGAGCAAAATGTCACACAGTGCCAAAAAACGTGTGGTTAAACTCTTATAAGGACATTGGAGAGGGACTTGCGAGTGCCTGAACAAAGCTCTGAGAAGAGGACAGATGATCAGGTTGAAAACGGAATTTTGCACCGTTGTATTCAGCGTGCTATCCATTGAACCCAAATTTAACCATTGTTCAATTTGTGAGAGGGAAACAACATGTGGGTCATTAACTCATTGAGTGGCAGGTACTTTCCACATCCAGGGTCCTTTTGCGTTAAGAGCCTATGGAAGATGGTGGAACTCAGCAACGGGAAAAGGAGGTGCCAGATATTGCAGATGCTCAACACGGTTCTCTGGGCTGCAACGACTAGCTCCTTTTGGCAGCACTGCGCACACTTCATAACGATGCGTAAAGAAGCTCATTCGAGACGTCCATTTTGTGCAAGGCGAATCTTTATTTCTAAGTTCAACGTATTTACAACTTCGAACGTAATAGTAACTTCGCTCGCAATTACTACTGCTATCAATCAGCCCCGATGGTTTCCACCTAGTTGTTTCACGATCAGTTCGCCCTGATGTGGTCCACCCTGTTTGTTGATAGTCCCCGGGCAAGTGCCCAGATCGCTCCCCCTCAAATACCCGCTCGGCCCCGCTCCTATCTGACAGTGCCTCCCACTCCACTATGGCACGCGTATTCTTCATTAGATCATCTATACAGTAACTTCCGGCCACCTGTTTAATATGATCTCAACGCGTACTCTCTAGCACTTTCTCCTTACAGTCCCCTACAGATATAACGTGAAATAAAAACATTGCACCACAGGAGATTGCACACTGAAGTATGGCCGGAGTTTGAGGCTGCACGCGGCTCCCTAAGTTTACACTCGGGGGTCAGAGGCGACCAGCCGTCTACTGCCCCAGTGCCCAGGATTTGGAGGCTGCACTTTCTGTGTGTAATGAGTGCGAACTCGTAACGTATTCGATCGGCAATCGGAAGCCAGTGCAGCTCGGCGAGCATTGGACAGACACGGTACAATCTTTCAATAACCCCGCCACGACACGTGGCAGACAATTATTTCCACGCTACAGCTTGGTAATATATATATTTTTATAGACGTCTCGTAGCGTAGTGAGTTGCAATAATCGAGCCTTGTCAATGCGATATGCTACACGCCATCGTGTTGCCTATGTCACTGTGAAACCAGCTGCTGCTCCGATGCTGTTACGGAAATCACGAGGCTGATGGTCTGCAGAGCAGTGTATGTAGACCTCCACTAGATGGAGACTAAGGCGGCGCGGGAAAGCGTGATGCAAGTTATCCATAGCCTCGTGTGCTGTGCTCAGTAACAGCAGTTGCCTCATTAGCCTCCTCGAGGTTATATGGGAGATCTTTGCTGTGGGGTCATGGGGTATGAGCCTTACTGACAGTCTGTGTTGCGCTCAATATCTGAAATCAACTGGCGTGGTCTCCAAACTCGACTTGTTGCTGTACTCCCACAAATTCACATAAAGTCCATTGACTCAGAACAACAACCGCATTGCACCACGAGGTGGCGATGACGTCACCTTGGAGCTTATGCCATGCAAGGTACACTTTGTGTGGGTGAGTGGGTGAGTAAGTGAGTGGGTGGGTAAGTGAGTGGGTGGGGTGAGGTGATTGGGTGGATGAGGTGGGTTTGGTGGGTGAGGTGGGTGGGTGGGTGAGGTGAGGTGAGTGGGTGGGCGAGGTGAATGAGTGGGTGAGGTGGGTGAGGTGGGTGAGGTGGGTGAGATGGGTGGGTGAGGTCGGTAGGTGAGGTGGGTGGGTGATGTAAGTGAGGTGGATGGGGTGGGTTGGCGGGTGGGGTGGGTGAGGTGGATGGGTGAGGTGAGGTAGGTAGCTGGATGGGTGAGTGGGTGGGTGAGGTTGATGGGTGAGGTGAGATGAATGGGTGGGTGAGGTGAGGTGGGGTGAATGGGTGGGTGAGGGAGTTGTTGACTGAGTGTGGGGGTGAGGAGAGCAGTGGGGAGTGGTGGTGTAGCGGTTAGCGTGCTTCGCTACAAACCATGCGACCCAAGTTCGATTCCTGCTCACGGCCAACACCAGAGACGATTATTTTAACCGGTCCTGGGCTTCTCCTAGGTCGACTCAGCCTCAATGAGGACCTGGTGCAATCTAAATGTCGCCAAAAATGTGGTCAGACATGATGCTGGCCACCCACCCATCGTGTGCCGTGCCAGCTTTCATAAGTGCTCGCTAACAGCACTTGCCCCAACAGTCTGTGAATAGGCTATACAGGGGATCATTGTCTTGTGTGGTTGAGTGAGTGGTTGACTGCGCGTGGGGATGAGTATGTAGGTGAGGAGAGAAGTAATGTAGCAATTCGTGGCAAAAACAACCCTCACCTCCTCAATGGTGTTGGCCGGTAACGCTGTCATGGTTTTGAGCAATCCATGGGAGGAAGACCGATAACGATCAGCTATTTGGTGCTCGTAGCCACAAAAGCAGCAAATGGTGGCTCTGGATGGGTGCGAGAGGCTGGTGGCCCCTCCAGGAGACTGAAACCTACCCTCGGGGTTCCTCCAGAATCGGCAAAAAACCACTGCGAGTGGCCACGTGGGAATGTTGGAAGCCTCATTGCGGGGAGAGGCTGCCACTCCTCTGTGAGGAGATCTGCTGGTACCACCTGGATTGGTTTCATGATGTCTGGTGGACTGGCTCTGACTCCAGTCACTGAGGGGTGGCATGACCGTGGCCTTCTCGGCCTTTTCGGCCGCGGTCATGCCCTCTCTGCTCTGTGCTTGAACAATGTGGATCCCCTATTGAAACATCTGCGCCAGTCATGAACATTCCGGCTGGCATACTAACGATCCATCCTGGGTTTAATCAGTTTGGATAGTTTTTGGAGCTCACAAAATCCATCAAATCGGTGTGCTCCTTTGGCAGGCAAGGCTGCGTTGGCTGAGGCATCTTGCTAGCATGCCTAGCTACTGCATGCCTAAACAGCTTTTGTTTGGCAGGATAGAGGGGGCTAAACGGGCGCGCCATGGGCGGGATAAGAGATGGATTGATGTGTTTATGAGGATATGGAGCTGAGTGGATTTGCCGCCGACCGTTACCAGCAGTGTCAAGAATAATCTTCTTTGGAGGAGGCTCATGAAGGATGCTACTGGACAGTTGGAGGCAGTCGCTCTCCAACAACACATGAGTATCTGGTACGATGTGTAAACATCGCTACCTGGGAGACAAAGACGGCCAGGCTTGGTGCTGGCCACTCATCCCTCGTACCCCTTGCCAGAATTCATAGGTGCTACTCGCTAACAGCATTCCCCCCTACAGTCTGTTATGCTACACGATGGATCTTTATCTTTTTGTGTGGTTTAGTGGGTAAGTAAGTGAGTGTGAGTGAGCATGTGGGTGAGTGCGTGAGTGAGTAGCTGGGTGAGAGGTCAGTGTGTGAGTTGGTGGTTGAGTGAGTGAGCAAGTGGGTGAGTGAGTGCGTCTATGGATATGTGGATGGGTGGATGAGTGGGTGGGTGAGTGGTTGAATGAGTGGGTGATAGGATGAGTGGGAGAGTGAGTTGGTGAGTAAATGTGTGGGTGAGAGGTCAGTGAGTGAGTTGGTGGTTCAGTGAGTGAGCAAGTGGGTGAGTGAATGAGTGAGTGCATGTATGCTTGTGTGGGCGAGTGGGTGGGTGAGTGTGGGCGATTTAGTGAGTGGATGGGTGAGTGGGTGAGTGAGTGGGTGAGTTAGTGATTGGATGGGTAAGTGAGTGAATGAGTGGGTGAGTGGATGAGTGGGAGTGGGAGTTAGTGAGTACATTTGTGGGTGAGAAGTCAGTGAGTGAGTTGGTGGTTGAGTGAGTGAGCAAGTGGGTGAGTGAATGAGTGAGTGCGTGCATGTACGTGCGGATGGGTGAGTGAGTGGGCGATTTAGTGAGTGAGTGCGTGGGAAAGTGGGTGGGTGGGTGAGTGAGTGGGCAATTTAGTGGGTGAGTGGGTCGGTGGTTGAGTGAGTTGGTGGGTGAGTGAGCGTGTGCAGTGTGTATTCACTTCCCCCTAATCTGCGTGAGTTTCCCCTGGGGTAGACCCATACTCTTGGTGTTTTTGTTTGTCCAGTGAGTTTCTTGTTGTCGACTCCGCTGCTACTACATGACACATCCATGCTATAACCTGGCCCAGACCTGTGCTGGCTGACAAGATCTGTGAGTGTGTTTGTGTGG